CTGAAAATCTCGGGAGCTTCGCTCCGTTTCCGCATTCGATTTCCCGTCTTTCCTTCCTCAAAAATGTCGAACTTGACCCGTTTCAGAGGCGTCGCGCGTAGAAAATAAATCCAGCGCGTAAAGTAACGTGCTGCTGATGGCTCCGGTGGAAACAAGGGGTTATGCTACTGCCCCTGCGACCCGACTCCGGATAAGCGGATGAAAATGGATGGATGGATGGATGGATGGATGGATGGATGGATGGATGGACGGACGGACAGACGGACGGATGGATGGATGTTAAAAGGGCCTGCCATAAGCTATGGGGTTACAGGTTGCTCATCTTAGGTGTGTTCTTGCTGTGTCGTATCTCTAATTCCATGCTGTAGTTCTTTTTTAAAACACAGAGCAGTTTTGTTGACCTGTTTTCCCGCTACGTTTCATTTGTGGCTGCAAACTTCCTCAGGCTGACGCTGATGGTGGCGTCACTTCCTTCTCCGTTTATCCGTGGGCAGCAGAGGACGGGAGTAAGGGACCCTAAACATTAACACATATAGAAACCAACACACACAGACCAATATCTATTATGGACATCAGAACACCCCACCATATACAAAATGTCAGTAATCAGAACATTATATCACCGAGCAAACATAATAACAGAAGAAAGAGACCGTAAACAAGAGGACAAACACATACAACACGCTTTAAAGACCTGCGGATACCAGTGGTGGGCAGTCAGGGCCAGCAAAGCCTTCTCTGCTGGCCTAAACTTACTCAAAAACGTAAATGTATTTTTTTTTCCTTTGGTAAATATTTTTTTCAATAAAAATATGTTCACTGGTCAATTTTCTTTTTATCCTATTATACCCACTTGGTTGCGCTGCTTCTAGTGTTGAAATACCAAGGTTGGGTGTTATCCAATCAGATTTAAGCTAGCTTGTGTTTTCAGGCAGATTAAGTCTGCTCTAGGCCTTCAGACTCAATCGAGAAGCCCACTGTCCGCTGTAAGTGAACAGAGACGAGCCAGTTGCGATAGCCAATTAGCTCACGAGTCAGCTTGGCCCGGGCCAGCTAGCTGGCCTCACGCAAAAGTTGACATGAACGCATCCTGTGATTGGATAAGCAGTAGTTTGAACTTTTCTAGCGGCATGAAGCAAAATATCAAAACTAAACACGGAGATAGGCAGCTATCGGTGTATTTTTGTACAAATGATGGCTGAAAGAGGAGAAGGGACGGACTTGGTGGCAGATTTACTTGCCACACCATTTTCAAGACGGACCTTTCAAGAAAAAATGGATATTGTGAGAACAGGTCGTCCGACTCCAATGCTAGCTGGCTTGTCCCAGCAGGGGAAAGGATTTGTTCGTCATTTTCAGGCAAGCAACTATGAACGGTACCCATGGCTAACAGCTTCAGAGAACCGCTGCAGGTTATTCTGCTGGGAATGCCTGTTGCTCGCATCAGATCGATTTGGTATTTGGAGTTTTACTGGATTTGCCAATTTAAGTTGTTTCACCAAGGCAGCAAAGAGACACCAAAGCACGGCTGGCCACTTACAAGCTACGGTGCTTTTAAAAACCTTTGGGGACACCCGAGTGGATCTGCAGCTCAGTGAACAGGCGCGCAAGGACACGTAGCTCCACAACGAAAAGGTGAAGAAAAATAGGGAGATATTGAAAAGGCTGATGGATTGTGTCATATTTTTGGGTAAACAAGAACTTTCATTTAGGGGACATGATGAAAACCCCCAGTCATTAAATAGAGGGAATTATGCGGAGCATATCTTTTCTTGCTGAACATGACGCCGACTTGCATTACCACCTGATCACCAACAGGGTCTTTACTGGGACATCAGGCAGAATACAAAATGACCTCATTTATGCTATTGCAGAAGTGATGGGAGGTGAGATCAAAATAGAGATCAGAAGAGCCCCTTTTGTCGCCGTCATGGTTGATGAAACCACAGACGTGGGTAACGTGGCACAGCTGGCACTCGTCCTGCGCTATGTGACAGCCACAGGTGTCAAGGATCGTTTTGTCAAATTTGTGGATGTAACTAGTGGCAGGCGAGCTGATGACCTTGCCGCGCTTATTTTCCGTATTCTTGAGGAATATGAATGCTGTTTGGACAAAGTTGTTGCACAGTGTTACGATGGTGCAGCGGTGATGGCATCTGGACTAAACGGGGTGCAGGCTAAAGTTAAGGAAAAGGCACCTATGGCCTTATTCATTCACTGTTATGCACATCGTCTTAATTTAGTGCTGACTCAAGGGGCCTCAAAGCTTAAAGAGTGCAAGGTCTTTTTTGCCAATCTGAATGGCCTCGCTGCGTTTTTCTCCAGATCCCCGAAGCGCACACAGTTGCTGGATGATGTGTGCAAACGGCGTCTTCCTCGTGTTGCGCCAACACGGTGGCAATATTCATCAAGACTGGTGAATGCAGTCTTTGAGAATCGAGTTGCTCTAAAGGAGTTGTTTGGTCACATATTGGACCATCACGACGAGTATGATGAGGACACCGTGCTTTCTGCAGATGGATTTAACGCACGGCTGGACGATTTTGAGTTTTGTTTTTTGCTCAACACATTCAATGGGCTTTTTGAGTATGCTGATGTGCTTTTTGGAATACTGCAGACCAAATCATTGGATGTGCAATTCTGCATGGCCAGGCTGAACGAGTTTTGTGACAAAGTTGAGCAAGAGAGGGGCAATTTCAGTGAGATATATGAAGAAGCAATGCGCGCCTCCGGTGGTCCAAGTGTGCGCAGAGGCCAACGCACGGCGCAAGGTGATCTCCGTGCACATTACCAAAAACTCCACAACAGCATTCTGGACAACATTCTTTCCCAGACAAGGAATCGATTTCAGGACCATGAAATGTTGATGTTTCTCTCCCTTCTTGACCCCCAGCACTTTCAGACATACAGAAAAAAATTCCCGACAGCAGCCTTCTCCAGCTTAACACAGAGCCACGGACCACTGTTTGATCTTCCCCGACTTAAAACAGAACTGACTGTAATGTATGCTATGGCTGATTTTGAAGGAAAAAGTCCCGCTGATCTACACGATTTTCTTCTCAGCAAAAACCTGAGTGAGAGTATGGGACAACTTTACGCACTGGCCTGTTTGGCTGTGACTATCCCGGTGTCCACTGCCTCTGTTGAGCGCTCATTCTCAGCATTAAAGCGCGTAAAAACGTACGCCAGAAACACGACCGGACAGACACGACTTTCAGCATTAGCCTCCATGTCCATAGAAAAGGCTCTACTCATGGACCTGAAGCGCACAGATAAACTGTATGACAGAGCCATTGAGGTTTTCCTGAGGAGAGAAAGAAGGATGGATTTTATTTTCAAATGAGCAGGAGAGGAGGAGATCCATGCTGGACATTTATGTTGGTGAGTAGAAACATTTTATTAGTATTTTTTTATGTTTTGTCATTTTATTTCGTTAATAATCAAGAAATGGTACCGAAATAAAATGGCTAAATGAAATTATTCTGTTTATGCAATTAATATTGTGTACAACGTGGTGTGCGCAGCTGCGCCCACATTGTTTCGCGGTGCCATTTTCTCCTAAACAAATGCAAATGTGTTTGCTTTACTTATTTATTTTATTGTCTCATCTCTTAAACCTGTCTTTCATTTTTGAGATTTGACAGTATCTGTGGTCTTAGCTTCCTACCCTCAATTGGGATTACGAGTTTGAATTCAAAGGCTCCGGAAATTACATGTCTTGACCAGCCACTGGTGTGTGTGCGTGTGTGTGTGGGAGAGAGAGAGAGTGAAAGAGAGAGGTTTCTCCAGCTGTGATGCCATATTGATGGTATTTTAAGGTGTATTAATTTAGATTGGATTGAATAGGAAATCACTGAAGGCGCAGGGGTGGAATGCACCGCCCGCCACTGGCGCATACCCGACATGGGCAATAAACAAAGGAAAACAACAAACAACAACAGAAAGAAAAAAACAACCAAAGCAAAGAACCAGTAACCCAGAAAGCCAAGAACCAAAACCAGTGATAACCCTACCATACATCAGAGGCATAACAGAAAAAATAAGAGCAACAATGAAAAAACACAACATAAACACACCAACAAAACCATACACGACAGTTAGAAACAGACTAGTGCACCCAAAAGACAAGATACCAGCTGGACTTAAATGTGGAGTCATTTACAAAATCCCATGCAAACTCTGCAATAAAACATATGTAGGAGAAACCGGACGCCAACTAAACACACGAACAATAGAACATAGAAAGGAGTGCGAGAAAGAGGCAAGTCGAAAACACACAAGAGCAGCAAAAGAAGAAGCAGAAATCACAATAAAGAAGTCAGCCGTAACAGAGAGAAAGTCACTGCACAAGAGAAAACCATATAATGGACTGGGACAACACAAGGATCATAAACACCGAACAACAAAAATACAAAAGATGGATAAAAGAAGCTACCGAGATAAGGAGACGTGGATGTGGGACCATGAACAGGGACGATGGAGTTTACACGTTGGACCGCGCATGGGACTGCAACGTCGGAGAGGGGAGAGTGACAACGTCCTCTGCTGCTCACGGATAAACGGAGAAGGAAGTGACGCCACCATCAGCGTCAGCCTGAGGAAGTTTGCAGCCGCAAACGAAACGTAGCGGGAAAACAGGTAAACAAAACTGCTCTGTGTTTTAAAAAAGAACTACAGCATGGAATTACAGGTTGCTGCTTTATTCATTTGCTGCTAGGCTACTCACACATATTTAAACAACTTAGCCCTGTTACCTTTTCCTTTAAATAAATGCAGCAAAAGCTTAGATTTTTTTCAGCATTTTCTCAGTCTGCCAACTTGGAGAAGTTTTACCAAATTGTGAAACTCCAGTAGGGAGACGAGCTGCAGCTCCTTAACAGGGACTTTTTATTGGGAAATATACTAAATTTAACATCTTATTGGCACAAATCTAATCCCATATACTCAACACCTACCTATGCGCTGATGAGTGATCCAGCTCCACTCCAGGTGGGGCGCTGTAGCACCACTATTTACCACTGACTCGTCCTCGGACAAACCGGAAGTAGAAGAAGCTCTTGTTCTGGCGGCAGCGTGGAATACGTTAGCGTTTACCTCTCTGTGAAACTGTTTAGTTTGCTGTAGAAAGGTTACAAAAGCCCAAGTTCGTGTCCGACATGGTGAAGCTGTCTGCGGAGCTGATTGAGCAGGCTGCTCAGTACACCAACCCTGTGAGAGACAGAGAGCTGGATTTACGAGGTAAACTCGGGCCTTTACCCACGGCTAACTGACTAGGTTAGTGTTGTGTGTGTGTGTGTGTGTTTGTGTGCTAACCAGTGTTAGCTCTGCTTTATCTTTAGGTTATAAGATCCCAGTGGTGGAAAACCTCGGAGCTACTCTGGACCAGTTTGACACTGTAGATTTCTCTGATAATGAAGTGAGAAAACTGGACGGCTTCCCTTTGCTAAAGAGGCTGAAGACGCTGCTGATGAACAACAACAGGGTCTGGTAAGTCCCACTGCTCTGTGTGTCACCATGGTCCAGGTCTGCCCCTGAGCTGCACAGGTAGGGTCTGGATGATGGAGACGAGTAGGATCTGGGAACACTTCATGTTGATCCACATCAGTAATTATCGGAAATGTAGAAAATGTATTTTAAGTAACGTACTGGCCATCTTGTGCTTCTCCTTAGTTAACTACCTTCAGTAAAGAACACACACTGTTTATTTAAACAGATGTTTTACTAGGATGCAGGTTTTCCAAGATTTGTTTAACCGGGTGTTGATGCCCCTCAACACAATCATTTGCCTCTGCTTCATAAATAACACTTTATATATAAGTCTGAGGCACAACTAGAGTCCCACACCCGTTACATTTGTGATCTAGTAAAGAGACAGTGGGATGACAGCTGAAATGTCCGTCAGACCTCTGGCATCCATTACTCAGAAGAGCATTCTGGAGGCCACGTTTTTAAAAACCACTTTAGCTTCCTTACATTGAACTAAATAATTTGACATTTATGTTGCTAGACTAATTAGGAGTCAGACGCAAGCAGCAGCGTCACGGCCGCCTGACCTTTTGCTGGTCACTCTTCAATGTGCTGTAGATTAAAACATTGGCGTAATCTGCGTTTAGTTGAGACGACGTCGGTGTGATGCAGCTGCTGTCAGGAAGACGTGTAGAACGGTACGACTCTGCATCAGTGGGGTCTGTAGTCACCCGCTCCAACATTTGCATACTTTTTGCTGCTAAAGTAATCTTTTGGAATAAATATTTAAAATGAAATATCAGTTTGAGTTTCTGCAAAATGAAAATAATTTTTTACCACGAGGTTTAGACGGTCCCTCTGCTCAGTGAAAAGCCAGCCCTGACAAAATGATTAAGTTATCAGGGATCGTCATATGAGAGTAATTCACAGAAAACCAAACATGAAAGTATGTGAAAATACTCCAGAATAGTGCAGTCATCCTTAACAAGTTATCGATGTGGTCTGATTAAATGTGTAGAAAGAGCTGCGGCGTCATCTCGGCTGGTTGCTTGAAGACTTTAATAAACCACTGCTAAAGGTAAAAACGCTGCTCTGACTCTTCAGTGCAGCAGAAGTGTTGGTTTTATGAAATTACCTCATCACCTGTTTCTGCTCCAGCGTCCTTAAATCTTCTGGTGCCCCGATCCATTTACTGGGTTTGTTTTAAACACAAGGCTAGTAGCATACAGGAGCCGATTCTGACCAGAAAAAAGTATTAGGGAATAGAAGAGACTTTATTGTTATTGTACAGCGACATTGGAGTGCCACTCCCTTTGGTGCAATTTGTAAAATAATACGGAATAAAATAAACGTAAAATCAACAGTAATATTTACAAATGTATAGAAAGAGTAGCAGCATCAGTCAGGTTCTGTGCAGGTTAAGCAGAATTTTAGCATATTGAGTAAACACTAATAGTAAGAGTAAACGTGTGGCTCGGGTTTACAGGCTCATCTGGTTTTGTGGTCGTTTGCTACTCTGGTAGCTCTGGGAAAGAAGCTATCCCTGGTTTTATGTGACCTGCACCATCAGCCTGACGGTAACGGGTCAAACAGATGGTTACTGGGGTGAGAGTAGTCCTCGATGTTCCTGCTCTACTGGGGTAACGAGAGTTGGCAATGTGCTTCAGGCTGGGCAGAGAGCATCCAGTGGTCTTCTGGGCTGTGCTGATGACCCTCTGCAGTACTTTCCTGTCTGCAGCTGAGCACCCTGCATACCATGTTGTGATGCCGTACGCTTGGATGCTCTTTGTGGTGGCTCTGTAGAATGTGACCAGCAGCCTCTCCTCCAGGTCGTTCCTTCTGAGCACTCTCATGAAGTTTTTACCACCGCTGTGGTGTTTGCAGTCCAGGAGAGATCATCAGAGATCTGCACGCCCAGAAAGCTCACGGAGTGCACCCTCTCCACACAGTCCCCGTGAATGTAAAGTAAGGCCGGGTCGGCCCTGCCCTTCCTGAAGTCCAAGATAAGTTCTTCAGTTTTTGTGGTGTTCAGTTGGAGGTTGTTTCCTGAACACCACACAGTCAGTCTGTTGACCTCATCTCTGTAGTCCCACTCATCCCCCCTTGAGATGAGTCCAACCACAGTGGTGTCATCCACAAACTTAATGATGGTGTTTGAGAGATGGGTCGGGGAGCAGTCGGATGTGTAAACGGGAGGGGACTCCGAACACATCCTTGTGGAGCGCCGGTGCTGAGTGTGATGGTGCTGGAGAGGTGGGGGCCGAGTCTGACAGACTTTGGTCTGTTTGTCAGGAAGTCCTTAATCCAGATGGGGGTGGAGAGTCCCAGGCGAGACAGTTTCTGGACCCGGATCTGTGGGATGGTGTAACTGAGCGCATTCTGACATGGCTTCCTTGGTGTTCCAGATGACTCAGCTCAGCGATGCACCGATATAAAAGTTTTGGGCTGATACCGATGTCTGATATTAAGATCACTATTATGGCCTATAATCTATATTTGCAGGTACCGATATACTGTCATTAATGCTTCTAAAACCAGCAGATTTTGTATAGAATGAAAATGATTCAAACTGAATTTACGTTATTATTTACACACACCACTCATTTACGGTTATGTGATGATTTCATTCACTGTTCACATGACTAAACAAACACACATCACCCCCTCACCCTCTGAAACAGGCAAACAAATGGAGACGAGATGGAAAAAAATATCGGTTGTTAATATCGGCCCGTTTTTTTTTTTTTATTGAACCGATGCCGATATTAGGGATGCACCGATGGATCGGCATTTGATCGTAATCGGCCGATGGCGCCCCTATCGGTTTTGATCGGAATTTTCAAAATAGATCAAAGCAAACCGATCAGGTAGGGTTGTCACGGTAACCAGTGTAGCGCTAAACCCCGGTAAAAAAAAAAAAGTTGACAATAATAACCGTCTTGTTTTTATAAAACTATATTATCTTGGTGGGTTTACCGTGGCTGCGGTGTAGGCACGGTGACCCTTACCAGCCACCGTATCATCTGCAGAAGTTGCCGGCGGCACATACACGCTTTGTTTAAAACAAAACTTTCTTGAAGCTAAAGCTGAAATAATGGTCAAAGGAGGAGACGGCAGCGCTCAGGAGGACATTTATTATCCCTCAAAGAAGACAAAGTCGGAAGTACGGGCATATTTTAGATATTTGAAGAAAGCCGAGGGAGTTTATAGAAGACGGGCGGCTATCCTGTTTGCAGCACGAACAGAAAAAGTGTCTGTGAAAGGCAGCAACGCTTCTTATCTCATGACACATCTGCGTGACCATCACCCACAACTCTACAGTCAACGCAAGGCAAGCTAACGTTAGCGTTTTAGCTAAAATGCGTGATCCGAGGATTTGGGTTGAGGGAGAATGCAATGAGTCGCTATATAAAGCAGCCGCAGCGCCGCTACCTGCATATAAACCGTGTCGCGGACACCGCCATGTTGAAATGACGCTATGCATTACGGGGCTCCCGCAGGGGCAGATAAGAGTTGGTCTCTCTCCAAGAATAATTATGAATTTAACAATGATTACTGCCTGATGACATTTTCCCACATCTGCAAAGCTCACTGGAAGGACACAAACCGAGGACAATATTTTCCTGATATAGGGTTTATTACTCAAGTAATGGTAAAAAAAAAAGTATCTGATTAGAAGGCTACTTGAGTACTGAGTATCATCTGATCTAATATTTTTAAATAATGACATCAAACAGACATAAAATACGAAGTTATGGGCAAATATTGGTATTTTAAAGACTAAAGGGGAAAAATGTAAACAAATAAACAACATAATTTCAAAATAACACATTTTAGGCAAAATTTAGACACAAACTGAGGACAATATTTTCCTGATATACAGTGTTTATTTAATTGTGTGAAAATGTAGCACGTTTAAAAAAAATACCGCGATAATACCGAAAACAGTGATAATTTTGGTCACAATAACCGTGAGGTTAAATTTTCACAACGTGACAACCTTAATACAGACCATTTTAGATTAGGTTACATTTCCTTTATTCCCAGATTATGTAGTTTGTAGCACTCATTATAATGTTGTAGAAAATTTCTGGCCAATCCACGTGATCGGTATCGGTGATCGGTATCGGTGATCAGCATTCTTTGATATCGGTATCGGTGATCGGCAGCAAAAAACCTGATCGGTGCATCCCTAGCCGATATGTTAAAAAATTACTAACATCGGCCAAGCCTGATATTGATGCCGATATTTTGCAGAAGGAGCCTGATGTGCTGGCAGACCAGCTCTTCCTCACTACAGGCGTAAGTGCAACAGGCCTGTAGTCGTTGAGGCTGTCCACTGCTGCCTTCTTGGCGATGGGGATAATGGTGGAGGTTTTGAGGCAGGGTGGTAAGGTGTTGAGTGACAAACACAAGTTGAAGATTTTAGTGAAGACCCCAAACAGTTGGCCAGCACATGCTCTGAGAATATTTTCATGTACAGGTGCTGGCCAGTAAATTAGAATATCATCAAAAGGTTGAAAATATTTCAGTAATTCCATTCAAAACGTGAAACTTGTACATTATATTCATGCAATGCACACAGACCAATGTATTTCCAATGTTCATTACATTTAAATTTGATATTCATAAGTGACAACTAATGAAAACTCCAAATTTGGTATCTCAAAAAATTAGAATATTCTGAAAAGGCTGAATATAGAAGACACCTGCTGCCACTCTAATCAGCTGATTTACTCAAAACACCTGCAAAGGCCTTTAAAAGGTCCCTCAGTCTTGTTTTGAAGGCACCACAATCATGGGGAAGACTTCTGACTTAACAGCTGTCCAAAAGACAATCATTGACACCTTGCACAAGGAGGGCAAGACACAAAAGGTGATTGCTAAAGAAGCTGGCTGTTCGCAGAGCTCTGTGTCCAAGCACATTAACAGACAGGCGAAGGGACGGAAAAAATGTGGTAGAAAAAAGTGTACAAGCTCTAGGGATAACCGCACCCTGCAGAGAATTGTGACGACAAACCCATTCAAAAATGTGGGGGAGATCCACAAAGAGTGGACTGCAGCTGGAGTCAGCGCTTCAAGAACCACCACGAGGAGACTCATGAAAGACATGGGATTCAGGTGTCGCATTCCGTGTGTCAAGCCACTCTTGAACAAGAAACAGCGCAAGAAGCGTCTCGCCTGGGCCAAGGACAAAAAGGACTGGACTGATGCTGAGTGGTCCAAAGTTATGTTTTCTGATGAAAGCAAGTTCTGCATTTCCTTTGGAAATCAAGGACCCAGAGTCTGGAGGAAGAGCGGAGAAGCACAGAATCCACGTTGCATGAGGTCCAGTGTAAAGTTTCCACCGTCAGTGATGGTGTGGGGTGCCATGTCATCTGCCGGTGTTGGCCCACTCTGTTTCCTGAGGTCCAGGGTCAATGCAGCCGTCTACCAGGAAGTTTTAGAGCACTTCATGCTTCCTGCTGCTGACCAACTTTATGGGGATGCAGACTTCACCTTTCAACAGGACTTGGCACCTGCACACAGTGCCAAAACCACCAGCACCTGGTTCAAGGACCATGGTATCCCTGTCCTTGATTGGCCAGCAAACTCGCCTGACCTTAACCCCATAGAAAATCTATGGGGTATTGTGAAGCGGAGGATGCAATACGCTAGACCCAACAATGCAGAGGAGCTGAAGACGACTATCAGAGCAACCTGGGCTCTCATAACACCTGAGCAGTGCCACAGACTGATCGAGTCCATGCCACGCCGCATTACTGCAGTTATTGAGGCAAAAGGAGCCCCGACTAAGTATTGAGTGCTATACATGCACATTCTTTTCATGTTCATTCTTTTCAGTTGGCCAACATTAGAGAAACAAACATTTTTTCATTGGCCTTTAGAATATTCTAATTTTCTGAGATACCAGATTTGATGTTTTCATTGGTTGTCACCTATAAATATCAAAATTAAACGTAATAAACATCGGAAATACATTGGTCTGTGTGCATTGCATGAATATAATGTACAAGTTTCACGTTTTGAATGGAATTACTGAAATATTTTCAACCTTTTGATGATATTCTAATTTACTGGCCAGCACCTGTATTCCGTCAGGGCCTGCTGCCTTCCTGGGATTCACTGACCTCAGAACACATCCCACTCAATTAGGGCTGCACGATATTAGGAAAACCTGCGATATTTGATAACAGTGCGTAATATTGCGATATCGATATTACTCACGATAAATGAACAAATACTAAAGTATGCAGTGTTGATGTCGTCTGGCGTGTGACGTCTGCTCTGAGTTCAAAGCAAACAAAAACTAATGCATGAATTCCATTACAACATAACATTTTTATTGCAAAAATATGCAGCTGCTCCTGCTACTGTATTAGCAGCTGCACCTGCTACTGTATTAGCAGCTGGACCTGCTACTGTATTAGCAGCTGCACCCGCTACTGTATTAGCAGCTGCACCCGCTACTGTATTAGCAGCTGCACCTGCTACTGTATTAGCAGCAAAACAACAAACTGCATGCATGCAGTTTCTCAGTGACTTTAAAACATCACCTCCACCATAAAACTTTTTCTGATGCTCCAAATACAGAAAAACATCCCTTACCAGGGTCTTTGAATACATAAAAATATCAGAAAATAAGTTTAAATGTTAAATAATAGTTAACATCACTTAAATGCAACAGCAAATTCTCTCATTGCTACTGAACATTTTCTCCACTTATGTGGTTATGATACAAGGCTGTGCTATTGGGAAGTGATCTGTGCTGGGCCTAACTAGGAGAATATATTTCTGAGGGAAAGAGAAAAACAATTGTCTACCTTTCAGAAGAGGAACTAACTACATGGAAAATATGTGAAAACGTTTGTTTTTAACCCCAAATTGAACAAGTTTACCTAGATCTTAAAAAGCAGCTCAGATGATGAAACTGCAACTATGATTCTGATAACAAGCTAACAAATTGAACTAGCTCGTCTAAGATAACCGGCTAGCAGAGCTTCTGACTGACAGTTTATGTGCAGCAGCAAATCAACTATCCTGATTAACAAGGTTATAAAAGCTCATAAAGGAAAAATCACTTTGATGTGTGGGGGAACTTTTCCAGGCCCTCTTTAGCAGCTCAGGGTGGGACTGGGAGGAGAGTGCTGTAGCCTTTTAGCTGGAAGCTAACCGGAGCCAGAAACCTCAGCACAAAGTGCGTTCGTTAATCTGAGCCAGCATGACGAACAAGGGAAGCGAGCGGAAAGTGGAGCGGAGATAGTGGAATTTTGGGGATACAGTCTGTGCTGGAGCGGGTGAACCAGGCGGCGGCCCAAAGTAAGCGCAGCCCGGGAAGCTCTGCTCAGCAGCACCGTCTCCGGCGCATGGAGGAAGTGGCGGTGCCAAAAACAAGAGCGGTTATGTAAGGCTGGCAAAAATCTCAACCTTCGGATGTAGACCGCCGAGCAGCGTGGGGTAGCTCGTAGGGGGCGGGCGTATTAGTGAACGAACCCATCTGATTGGCCGCATATCAGAAGGGCTACATTTGATTGTTCAAATAATACTTCCTGTAAAAAACAGAGCTGGTTTACAAAAAGTTGATGTATGACACGGATGGAAATGTTTGAACCAAACATTTATCGCCGTTTTTGACGTGCTTTGCGATGGGCCTATCGCACGTCCTGTTATCGCGATGACGATAATTTTTCAATATATTGTGCAGCCCTATTCTGCACTGTATTTGAATTTATATTTGCCACCGCTATTGGCTAAGAGGTATGCTATGATGTAAACTGGTACATTATGATGTCACAATGCCTTTGTAAGCCTGTGTGTTTGTGTATTTGTTAGCAGCTCCGCCCTCTCGGTCTGCCAGGCAACAGCATTTGTTGCATTTTTCAAACATTAAGTGAGAGTGAAGTAAGTCTCTTGTAGGGGGTGACTTGCTCTTTAAGCTCAGCAAAAAAATGTACTTACGCCAAGTAGGTTTGTAATCTACCAAACATGGAGTACGCACAGCTTTACGCAATCTCCACTTCATAAATCTGAGACTAACGAGAATGTTTCTCAGCTGCATTTTAGTCACATCTCGCCCTCACCACGCCCACTTACTGCCATAAACAGTCAATGCAAAGTGCGTTGTGGATCTCATGCATATACATAAGCCGGCTGTTGCAGCGCTCCGCCAATGACATGTCGACCGTAGATCAAGGCAGATCAAGGAAGCGCAATTTCACAGAAGCAGAAGTTGAGGTACCTGTGGGTGAGGTGGAGAAATGAAAGGAAGTGCTTTTGCAAAACAAATAAGAGAAAACCCACAGAGTGGCTCAGCGTTGCTGAAGCTGTCAATGTTGTGATTTCTTCAGAGAGATCTGTGGTGGATATAAAAAAAATTGTCCAATTGGGATTCGATCCCCAGACTCCCAGGTGAAAGTCACGTGAACTAACCAGTCACCCAAACAGAGATCTCCCTTGTTCAAGTAGCCAGGGCGCATGATCAATCGGGTCACGGTGACAGGACACGCACTGTCACAGACGCATGACATCCTGTCTCAATCTGTCCCCCTGCTGACTGATTCTGCGCATTCTGACACCTTAGTTTGTTTGAGCTAACGTGTGCCATCAGAAACATTCAAACCATTTTTAAAAGAGAAGTTGAGTTTTTTCAAGAAAAACCTCCGGGGGTGGGGGGGGGGTTCACACGGTCCGCTGCTGTTTCTCACCAGTATCAGCTGATGGAGGGTGCTAGTTTTGTTGCGCCGTCCGTGTCAGCCGACACGGTAGGGTCGGGGAGGGGGGCGGGGCATGATGCTTAGCCTGGCGTTGGGGGAAACCCTTCATCATTTCTGCATCCACCATGTCCCAGACACAGTGAAACAAACATCAAGCCCAACGTTTGGAGCTTGTAAGCTCCATACACCTTGCTCTCATGCAGCACCAGCTGTCTGTTGCTGTGTGCTGCTGCAGCATCATCTATCCAGCTGGATGAGCGAATTTCTTCATCAGATAGTTTTTATCCTGCTTCATAATCAGAGTCCTCTTCCCGACAGGGAGCTTCTCGGTGGGAGGCAGTTTTCTAACCCTAAAAACTCAGAAACTTTCAGTATGGTGATGGGAAATAACAGGTTTTAAGAGGAAATATTGAGCACAAAAATATGGAGTTGAAGTAAACTCGTCTGCCACGTCTGAAGGCTTCTTATCTTCTGTTTACAGTTTCTCAAGACAACTTGAAGATAGTTGACCTGTAAATACTGGCAGGATAAAAGTTTAGTCTATATCACCCAGCCCTGGGTTCAGTCTACCATTGGTGGTCATTTAAGGTTCATAAAGAACTGCTGACTTTGCTTTATGATGTCCTCATCTTATTGCAGTCGTATCGGCGAAAATCTGGAGCAGTGTCTACCAAGTCTACGAGAGCTGGTTCTGACAAACAACAACATCCAAGATCTGGTGAGGACCCTTTACAGTAATATGTTCAAAACCTGTTCCACCTAATCTCTTTACACTTTATACTTTTGCTTGGGTAGGACATGCTGAACCTTCTAAATGGTCTGAGGTGGTTTCTTAGATGTAGGGATGGGTGCCTTTGACATTCGAAACAATAGATACCAATTCCCGGTACCGACGAATCGATACCAGTACTTAAAGTGAGGGTCAAGGCCTGGGTGGAGACGTACGTCAACCACACTTCCTGTTAGGAAAACGCATCTGAAAGAGGCGTCGCCTTGCGGCCTGAGAGAGCGGCACTGAGGCAGTGATAGACCGCACCCCCCCTCAACCCTTCCCGTGTGTGCTGTCAGTTTCTCAATCTAAAAACGAGTCGTTAACAAACGTGCACGCAATCACACAAGCCTTACCGCTCAGGAGAACAGCAGACACAGATTCTGCAGGATTTCCTGTTAAACTTGATCATTAGATGAAAAGGGGACGAGGACATTTATTACAAGGAGTCGAGCAGCTCAGAGAGCCAGCGTGTCATATCGGCAGGTGAGTGGCTGAGGCAGGTGGAGGTGCGGCTGCCTCACCTGGAGACCTAGAGTAAGTTGCACTAAACTGCCACACTGATAATTACACATATGTACAGCACCATTACACACACATCTATACAGGTTATCAGTAAAAAACAAGTTCATTTAGGAGTTACTTGCTCTTTAACAAACAAATTTTTGATACTTTTGAGTGTTTAATTATTTAAATCACTTTATAAATTACATATTATCTTCCCAACATTTTTGGTGAACATAACGAGAAATAACATACAGCTGTTTGTATTTTATCATCGTAGTGTTGTACAACATGAAAACCTTTGACAACAACTGTTTCTAAATGACACAAAACCTAACCAGCTCCAGGTACTTCTAAACCTCTTCTAATCCCTCTGGATTAGAAGAGGTTTTCTGACCCACCACCACCACTGTGATGGTGGGTCCTCTGATGAGGAGACCATGTATTATACAAAAGAAACTAAAGCAAACTTTGAAACCATACAACAGTTTGTATTTTAATATTGTGATGTTTTCCTAACTAAACCAGCTCCATGTACTCCTGTTTCTCTCCGTTCTCCTCTGGACAAACTGTGTGATGACGGGTCTTTGTAGTTTTATAAACTTTGTGATGGTGGTCCTTGTAGTTTTATAAACTATGTGATGGTGAGTTCTTGTAGTTTTTTAAACTGTGTGATGGTGGGTTCTTGTATTTTATAAACTGTGATGGTGGGTTCTTGTAGTTTTATAAACTGTGATGGTGGGTCTTTGTGTGATGATGGGTTCTTGTAGTTTTATAAACCGTGTGAGGGTGGGTTCTTGTAGTTTCATAAACTGTGATGGTGGGTCCTTGTAGTTTCATAAATTGTGTGATGGTGGGTCTTTGTTGTTTTGTAAACTGTGGGATGGTGGGTTCTTGTAGTTTTATAAACTGTGTGATGGTGGTCTTTGTAGTTTCATAAACTGTGTGATGGTGGTCTTTGTAGTTTCATAAACTGTGTGATGGTGGGTCTTTGTAGTTTCATAAACTGTGTGATGGTGGGTCTTTGTAGTTTCATAAACTGTGATGGTGGGTCTTTGTTGCTTTATAAACTGTGTGATGGTGGGTTCTTGTAGTTTTATAAACTGTGTGATGGTGGTCTTTGTAGTTTCATAAACTGTGTGATGGTGGGTCTTTGTAGTTTCATAAACTGTGTGATGGTGGGTCTTTGTTGTTTTATAAACTGTGTGATGGTGGGTTCTTGTAGTTTTATAAACTGTGTGATGGTGGGTCTTTGTAGTTTCATAAACTGTGTGATGGTGGGTCTTTGTAGTTTCATAAACTGTGTGATGGTGGGTCTTTGTTGTTTTATAAACTGTGTGATGGTGGGTCTTTGTTGTTTTATAAACTGTGTGATTGTGGGTTCTTGTAGTTTTATAAACTGTGTGATGGTGGGTCTTTGTAGTTTCATAAACTGTGTGATGGTGGGTCTTTGTTGTTTTATAAACTGTGTGATGGTGGGTCTTTGTTGTTTTATAAACTGTGTGATGGTGGGTTCTTGTAGTTTTATAAACTGTGTGATGGTGGGTCTTTGTAGTTTCATAAACTGTGTGATGGTGGGTCTTTGTAGTTTCATAAACTGTGTGATGGTGGGTCTTTGTTGTTTTATAAACTGTGTGATGGTGGTCTTTGTAGTTTCATAAACTGTGTGATGGTGGGTCTTTGTAGTTTCATAAACTGTGTGATGGTGGATTTTTGTAGTTTTATCAACTGATATTTATACTGAAGCAAACATCTCTGCTGTGAACTACATTTACTGCATCTTCATTCCTTTTGCCATTTTTTTTCAGACTGTTTTATTTTTCCCACTCTGAAGTTGGAATTTCCGAGGAGAAAGTGAACGCACCATTAGCTATGTAAACAAATACTAAACTATCAAGCTAATGTGATCTTAAAACAGTTTATTTTGCTGCTGAAACAGATCAAGATGCCTCATACTCAGATTGTTGTCGCTGGTTTCATCATCACTCAGCAGCCCATCGCATTTAGTGAAGTGAAGCCAAATTTTAGAGCGCGTTCGCTTTCTTCTAGTCGGAATTTCAGCGTTCCGAGGAGAAAGAGAACGCACCATTAGCTGAACAGAAGCTATGCATTTTATTTCACTACTGGAGCACATTAAGATTATGATGATGCCTCACTTAGATCGTTGTTGCTGGTTTCATCATCACCCAGTTACCCATCCCATTTAGTGAGGTGGACCCAAACCTCTGAACATTTCCTCTGCCATGCTGCTCTGTTTACAGCTCACCTACAGTGACTGATGACTTATGCCGGCATGAGGCACGAGTACCGAAAAAGGCACTGTTTATTATGACAGTTGGTACTATGGAATTTGGTCGGTGCCTTAAAAAGTACCCAATTTGGTACCCATCCCTGCTTAGAAGAGACTTAAGTTAGGTCAATCCAGAATAGCTAATCCTGAAACACAGCTATTACTAACACCAAATATGGAGTTCTGGAATATATGCCTGTTTCCACTATTGGAGCTTCAGGGTAATTCTAACTGTCTCCATTTCATTGGCTCGGCAGCACCAGACCATTTTCTGGGCCTCTGCAGGTTTACCTGAGGTGGGGTAGGTAATGGGAATGGCCCAGTCGAGTCGCTGAGCAGCTCTTGTGATTAACTCACGCTGATTAGTTGCAACGCAATAGGAAATGACATTGGCGTATGTCGCCAAAGTAACTGGCATATGTAAAATCTGCTGTTGAGGCAGAATGGAAGGAAAAGAAAATGAGCAGTGTACATGCAGCTTTAAGATCGATGTTTCTAAACTCCTTAGGCCGTGAAAATCCCCCACAACCATGCAATTCGCACCTCTTTGTGGTCTCGCAGAGCACTGCTTCTTCTGGTCATTGAATGCCACACATCCAGTCTCCCTTTCTCCTGAAGTTATTAAATGACAGCACACTAGGACAGAACATGTTTAATAGTGTCAGTGGATGCCTTTTGGCGCTGACATAGAAAGTTCTGAACGAGTGATTTTTGTATGAGACACAGCAGTTGAGAGAACCTAGCCATCATATCTTCCAGTCTATTTTACCCCTCCTAGAAACTTCTCTGAACCCCTCTAGTGGAAACATGGCTTGTGTGACAAACAGTACCTCTGAGTGATTGTTCTGTTCCTCTGTAGGGTGACTTGGACCCTCTGGCCTCGGTGAAGACTTTAACTCTTCTCAGGTATTATTGTGGGACTCATATGGATGTTTACAATACATGTTTTTATTGTACTTTATTAAAATCCTGTATTTCCAGCTTGTTGAGGAATCCAGTCACAAACAAGAAGCATTACAGGCTGTACGTCATCAACAAAATACCACAGATTCGCGTTCTTGATTTTCAGAAAGTGAAGCTCAAGGTGATTTAAAGGGGATAATTTAAAGTGTTTGTTTTATATGATTTTAGTTTAATTTATTTCCTAACCTTTTGCTATAGGAACGTCAAGAGGCAGAAAAGATGTTCAAAGGCAAACGCGGTGCTCAGCTTGCCAAGGATATCTCCCAGCGAATGAAAACGTAAGGTTGAAGTGTGTGTTGAACAGCAGCTGCTCTGGCCATCACCATCAGCCTCTGGTGCTGTATGCATCAGCATGTGTTGGAATAAAACCACTTATTTCAAAAACATAAAGCCCAATGCTCAAATGTAAGCCGAGGCCCACGTGTGTTCCTTTCAGATTCACTCCTGGAGTCTCGGCGCAGCCGGAGAAGAAGAGTGGACCATCTCAAGCAGACGTGGAGGCAATCAAGGTGAGCTTGCTACTATCAAAATTATTGTGACCGTTCTGCAGTAGGTTGATCATCCTCTGAAGTTCACTGTTATTACAGTATTACCGTAAACGGCTGGTGTTAAAAATAGTAACGGTTCCCAAAAAAACAAGGATTAATTAAATACAAATAAAAACGATAAATAAGTTGTTTCATGTATGAAATGGATGCATGGCTGAATTTTCAGTTTTACTTCAATAGTTAAAAATGTTTTCTTGAATATTGGAGACGTTCCATAAAGTATATGAACCAACTATGTCCAAAATGAACGCAACTCCTGCAATTTGGGAGTTGTCTGGGTTTGAAGCAAACTTAAAAGGAGAGCCGGTAAACACTGATCAGGTGGTTTGTGCAAACACAAGATGGAGTTCCCGTCAGGGCAGCGGCGCTCCAGAGCTGAAATAGCAGGCTTCTGTTTGGTGCCTGTTGTTAAGAGACGACAACACACTTGTCTGGTTGGACACATACAGCCATCCTCCCCTAGTGTTTTATAGTGTTTGTCATAATACTTCTGATACGTATAGAAAGTATTTTACAGTCAAATGTATTTAAAACAATACAAAACATTCAAGTAATTGTTATAATTATTTTTCCAAACAATCCAACAAAATATTTCTGATGAAATAAATAAAGCTGAAGATATTTTAAATGATATACAAGCTAAATGTGATGAAAAAAACTAAATTCTGAATATTTAGCTTGGTCCCCAAAATGCCTTGATACGGCCCTGGGTGAGACAAAGTTTTAAAGGGACTTTAATGAAGTTAAACAACCAATACATGTATAAAAAATTTTAATTTCCTCTCATACATTCTCCTGCAGGGTGATCCATGGCATTTTTACTGTGATTGCCTCTTGTGTTCCTGTAAAATCACAGAAAAAGAGCATGTTGGGGTCGAACAAGCCTGCTTCCCCAGTGCCTTCCAGAGGCAGCGTGATGACGTCATGCATGTTCACCCTCAGGCATACCCCGTAGCGTTGGCTATCTGTAGCTCAGCAGCAAAGCGAGAGGCAGTGTTGCCAACTTAGCGATTTTGTCGCTGTTCCTAGCAACAGACCTAGCAACATTTCTGAGGATCCTTTTGGGGGGGGAGGTTCAGGGGCGATAGTATAGTGCACAAACGCAATGGTGTATTGTACAAACGCGATGGTGTATTGTAGAAACGCAATGGTATATTGTACAAACGCGATGGTGTATTGTAGAAACGCAATGGTATATTGTACAAACGCGATGGTATATTGTACAAACGCGATGGTGTAGTGTACAAACGCCATGGTATACTGTAGAAACGCGATGGTGTATTGTAGAAACGCAATGGTATATTGTACAAACGTGATGGTATATTGTACAAACGCGATGGTGTAGTGTACAAACGCGATGGTGTAGTGTACAAACGTGATGGTATAATGTGCAAACGCAATGGTATATTGTACAACCGCGATGGTGTAGTGTACAAACGCGATGGTGTGTTGTACAAACGCGATGGTGTGTTGTACAAACGCGATGGTATAATGTGCAAACGCGATGGTATAATGTACAAACGCGATGGTATAATGTACAAACGCGATGGTATAATGTGCAAATGCAATGGTATATTGTACAACCGCGATGGTGTAGTGTACAAACGCCATGGTGTAGTGTAGAAACGCGATGGTGTATTGTAGAAACGCAATGGTATATTGCACAAACGCGATGGTATAATGTACAAACGCGATGGTATAATGTACAAACGCGATGGTATATTGTACAAACGCGATGGTGTAGTGTACAAACGCGATGGTATAATGTACAAACGCGATGGTATATTGTACAAAGTACAAACGCGATGGTGTGTTGTACAAACGCGATGGTATAATGTGCAAACGCGATGGTATAATGTGCAAACGCAATGGTATATTGTGCAAACGCAATGGTATATTGTGCAAACGCAATGGTATATTGTACAAACGCGATGGTATATTGTACAAACGCGATGGTATAATGTACAAACGCGATGGTATAATGTACAAACGCGATGGTATAATGTACAAACGCGATGGTATAATGTACAAACGTGATGGTATAATGTGCAAACGCAATGGTATAATGTGCAAACGCAATGGTATATTGTACAACCGCGATGGTGTAGTGTAAAAACGCGATGGTGTATTGTAGAAACGCAATGGTATATTGTACAAACGCGATGGTATATTGTACAAACGCGATGGTGTAGTGTACAAACGCGATGGTATAATGTGCAAACGCGATGGTATAATGTGCAAACGCAATGGTATATTGTACAAACGCGATTGTATATTGTACAAATGCGATTGTATATTGTACAAACGCGATGGTATAATGTACAAACGCGATGGTATAATGTACAAACGCGATGGTATAATGTACAAACGCGATGGTGTGTTGTACAAACGCGATGGTGTGTTGTACAAACGCGATGGTGTGTTGTACAAACGCGATGGTGTGTTGTACAAACGCGATGGTATATTGTACAAACGCGATTGTATATTGTACAAACGCGATGGTGTGTTGTACAAACGCGATGGTGTGTTGTACAAACGCGATGGTGTGTTGTACAAACGCGATGGTATATTGTACAAACGCGATTGTATATTGTACAAACGCGATGGTATAATGTACAAACGCGATGGTATAATGTACAAACGCGATGGTATAATGTACAAACGCGATGGTGTGTTGTACAAACGCGATGGTATAATGTACAAACGCGATGGTGTGTTGTACAAACGCGATGGTATAATGTACAAACGAGATGGTACATTGTAAAAACGAGATGGTATATTGTACAAACGCGATGGTATATTATACAAATGTGAAAATTGTTAGAACAATAAAGTTGAGATGTTATAACGTGATATTGCTCCAATTTTATTTTGTGTGGGTGGCAGCTTTACGCTGCTGTAAACGTCTATCGCGAGATACATTGCTACTGAATTATTGTTCTGTGTTGGAACGTTGAAGCTGTTTCAAAATAAACTATGTGGAATAGATTGTAGTTATCACCAAAGCTGTTTCGTCTCTGATCACTCTGAAAAGATCTTCAGCTGTAGTATCACCTTGACCAACACCAATGAGTAGACATGGTTATCTTTTTCAGAATGCCATTACAAATGCCTCATCGTTGGCTGAGGTGGAGAGGTTGACGGGAATGCTGCAGGCTGGACAGATCCCAGGTCGAGACGCTCAACAAGGTCAGGTCAAACCCGAGCTGTTTTATTTTCTTTGTAGGAGTGAGCTCATGAAGCTCAGTAGAAGCCTGGGGCATCATTTATTAGCCTGGCCTGCCAGACTCAAACGGTCTGTTCTACACGGAGGACGAGTCTGGATCCTCAGAGGCAGAAAGCACCATGAGGGGCGGGACTAGCCAGCTCATAAATCAGACAAAAGGCAGAATTGACAACTGTGAGCTGTAATTTTTTTTCTGTAGTCAAAAATGGTGTCTGGCCACGGCGTAAACATCTTATTTTTAGAAGAAAGACTTTTAGCTTTTCTTGTGGTTTTAAAGACACGTCCAAGTCATTTAGAACAGAGGAAAGAGCGGCAGCGAACGCCACTTTAGACGCCATCTTTGTTGTTTATGAGAAACTGAGCATGGTGGTGCGTGGCGTACACGCACCACAATGCGTGTACGCCACACACTGTGGTGAGCGCTGATTGGCTCAGGTAAAATTCTGAAGGGGTGGGGTTATTTTTAGAAGAGCTTTACCAGGCCCGTTGCTTCTCATAAGGAAGCATTGGCATGGCTGGCAGGGCTACTCATTAGTAAAGCTTTGTGTAGAATCCTTTCTAAAACTACTCAAACACCAGAAAGTAATAATCCACTCACGCAAATGAACTTTCCTTTCTTCCTCCATAACGGAGCATCACTCGCTGCTGGATTCTTCATCTTCGACTCTTTGTGCTCTAGCAGCCTCGACGTGATGCTTGTGATTTGATCGCCCATCAAAAGTATTCTTGTAATGCAAGTAATAAGTGCAGCTACCTCCAAATCTCCCGTTAGCTTAGCTTTGCGGTGTTGTTTTTCCAACACTCAAATAACAATCCACACTGTCGCTGGCGGCTTTGTGAAAAGCCCCCGAGGTTGTTCCAGCGCAATCTGCAAAGGGTCCCCTGGGAACGGTGCGCCAGCATCTATTGTGGTATTATGATTTGAAATGAACACATGACTGACCGTGTGTGAAAAGGTTTTGGTGTTTTCATTTATTTTCTTTGAGAAATGGCCAAAACGGGTTTTAAAAGTCTACCAGGATGTGTAAGCTTATGGACACAACTATAGGTCTGTAAGGCGCTACGGAAGTAAAGGCTGACTTGTGTTAATACGCCAAACAGATGTTGTAGTGAAGCATCCAGCTGTTTTAAGTGTTTATGTTGTACTTCGCAGTAAAGACATATTTGTATGTGTATGATTAGGTTCGGCTGAGATGGAGGAGGAGGAAGAGGAGGGCGCTGAGGCTGGAGCTCACATGGAGGAGGATTATGGAGAAGATGAGAAAGATATGGATCAGAGAGATGAAGATATGGACGAAGAGCCGCATGTAAACGGCTCCTGAATCAGACGTTTTTGCTTTTCTTTGAAGATTTATTGCGTTGCACTTTTTTATTTTTATTTTTTACCAGGGCTGTTTTCTGTAAGTCTTGTACGACACAAATCTAACTGAATTGGTTTGCTGCTGTGTGGCTTCGCTGTAGACTATTCTTTGTATTCCCCCTTCAGTAACAATAAAAAATGTACAAAGAGCTCAAAGTCCAGTTTTCTTTACTCCTACGTGAAAACTTGTTTAACAGGTCACCTGGTGGATGTGAACCTTCTGACTTCGCTACAACAGCAGCTGCAGGAACGCTCCTTTAGGCGTTAATAATGACGTTCCTGCTCTAGATTAGAAAACACAAATGCTGCAGATCCACTCTTTCTCCCAAATGTTATTCTTTATTAAAAAAAATAAACGATGACTAAAAAATGCAGTTAACGACAAGATGCCAAGGAGCTAAAAATAGATTTGGGGTGACTAAAACATGACAAGACGTGCATGAATGAGTTTTTGTTGACAAGACTGGACAGAAGTGATGCTTAAACGTTGTGCTGTCCTGGATCTGCGTTTCCTGGTTTCACCCCCTAGACAGCAAGATTATAGCGCTCCAGTGAATACTAGAATTGCTCTTTAGTGCTGGTGAAAGTTCTCAGTCATCCAGGTCATGGGAATGCAGTTAGAATATTTTACATTTATAACTAAACAGGAAATGACTTGGACAAACTATTTCAATTGAACAGTTTAAACTCAGAACTGTGATGCAAACCCTGGCCTCATGTTTACCTGTTAATGACATCAGCCTGTCTGTGAGCACAGGTAAGTCTGTGCTCTGGTACAGAGAACGGGATTCAGTAAAATAAATATGAGGTAACATAAAATAACTCATTCATCACAACTGTAGCTACATTCCTACCAGCATTAGAAAGACCAACAACCCAGATAAAAGGTGAAATCTGAACATTTCATGACAAAAAGTCAACTAATAAAATTCTGCACTGATATAAAATATTTTCAGCTAAATAAATATTTCATGTAAATATAAATAATGCTGGAATGAAGCTGAATCATTTAGTAAATAGTTGAGTGTTCAAAAAAAAAGCCAGTGTGACTGTAATCTGTCCCTCCTCGTGTCACCATCTACAGAAACTTCTGGAACACCTGACCAACCAGGTGGATGTTCTGTATGACGTTTCCATAACTTTATAAAAGCTGCTGATGCAGATGATCAGATCATCTCCGTGTCCTCCGCTCTCCCGTTGCAGGAAGAGCAAAGAACGGCAACAATGTAAATTCCAAAACCCTAAGCCAAAAACATGAGAACCAACTGGATCACCAACAGATGACACTAACCAGATGGACGTCCAGACCAAACGTTGTACGGTTATCCTGAATACAACAGATTACCATATCAAAGTCACCACGCTCTCGAGCAACAGCACCATACATGAAGCTCTGAAGAGGAACCCTAAGTGGAAATTCACGGACCATCTACGGAAATGGCTAAAGGACAAAGCAATCAACTGCACATTTATAGACTATCCAGGTGTAACGTCCAGCAATGGTAAGTTTTTAGGTACAGTTTGACCATTCAACATCTGGTCAAAATGGAGACACGAGACTGCATGTGTTCCCTTTAAATCGGCCTGCCTTCATCCCATCAACTGGAGCCCAGAGCCTCTCTGCAGCTCTGAACATATGATAACGTATTGTCAACAATGTTGTTCTCTCCTCAAGGTCCAAGCTTCCTGTATCGTCCTACAGATTCTTCATGCCTCTGAATAAGGAACATTCACAGCTTGGATTAGTTACTAAATCAAAGAATGATTTCTTAAATTAAATATAAACTTCTAAAACTTATAAGCTAGATAATCATTAAATAAACATTTGTTTATGGCTACTTATAATAATTATAATATAAATGAAATGCTTTAATTAACCTGTGCTTGAGTGATTGAAGTTTGAAATGAATGTTATGATTACAGTGATTTATGTTTCAGCATGTTGATATGACAAGGTCATCACCATTTGCACTCACACAAGGACAAAGTTAAGTTAAACGCGTGACACATAGATAGTCCTTTACCCCAGATCAGAGCATCCGGAACAAAGAAGGCGTGGTTCTGAGATGTCTTGGTAATATTCCTCAACTTGTCAACCTCTGGTTGGCTACACAAATCATAACATGAGAACATTAAAACTGGATCACTGGTGATTCAGCAGTTCTAGAGAAAGCTTCAGATCGGCCATCTGAAGCGAAACCTCTAACCCTTCAAAGCTTTTGACACACCATCAGAATCTTTTTGCACCTGCGAAGCTGATACAGCAACAGTTCCTGCAAAACAAGCTGATATTGTTCAGACTCCTTAAGAGTCCCAGACGCACGGTTCCATCCATCTCGTGTGACCTGGAGACATCTCTGGACTAAAGAGTCGGTACTACGGTTTCTACAGCCCTCGGTGACAGAGATCATCCGACCTTTCTGATCTTCGGATCCACAAGACGGTCTCCGAGAACGAGTGAAGTACACACACAGATAGCGTCTGATGCTTTTTGATAATAATCAACTTCATAGCTTAACGCAAACCAAATTCTTTTGCACCCAGAACTCAGCTCTCCTAGATACGGAAGTTCTGATAACATCACATTCACACATATGTTCATACATCACATCTCCTCCATCTAGATTCATCCACTCACAGTAAATATTAGTTAACCTGTCATGTTTTAATTGTTTGTGAATTAAATTCTTACTTTTACAAACCTGACTCTTTTCTGAATCAAAACGAAGTGTGTACAATCCCTGAATAAAACAAAGAATCCTACAATCTTCTGATTAACACAGTAACGAACAGGCAGGTTGATATTCTATATTTATATAGAGTATCACAGCTTATTGGTCATAAGTAGAGGTAATATATATATATTGAGCTCTTAAAGCACTCAGTTTACCAAACCCTACACGGGAGAAGCCACCCCAAGTATATATGGTCTTGTGAAAATCCACAAGGAAGGAACACTACTCATATGATCCATCAGCAGCATCAACTTGGTTACGAACCGCATTGCAAAACATCTGTCTGCCATCTTTGCCCCTGATGGTTGGGAAAATCCAACATCACATACAGAATTTAGTGGATTTTGCTAAGGAAGTTCAAGATCTGAAACTGGCTCCAGGTGAAGCCAATAGCCATGTTTCCCCTACCGGAACTTCAGGTGGATTTACAGGAACCTCCCAACACATGCGTGTCTCCACCTGACAGGGCTGGCCGAACGGCCGTTTTAAGGAACCTGAGTACCTGCTCTGGGGTAGGCTATAATTAATTATGATTGATGATTAAAGGGATGTTTTATGATGACCCCTTTGGGGTTGGAGCTCCCCTAGCTAAACTGCTAGTTTGGGCCACCTGGTGGCTCCCAAATATAGTCATACCTTTGAGTTGGGGTCATTACAGCTTTAGACGACGTCCTCTGCTGCCCTTGGATAAATGGAGTAGGAAGTGACGCCACCATCAGCGTCAGCTCTGAGGAAGTTTGCAGCCGCGAACGAAACTATCAGCAAGGTAAAAAGAAACCTTTTCTGTGTTTTAAAAAGGAACCAACAATGCCGTTAGAAAAGCAACACAGTAAGAACATACCAAAAATAATTTGGATCATTATAGAAAAATGACTTCTGAAATAAATTTTTATATTTGTAAACACATTTTAAAAGTAGAATGAAAAATAATTCATAAAATTAAGCTTAGATTTTTCATAACATTCTGTTTCACCATTTCATAGTCAGATTACATAATTAATGTCTAGTAATTATCCATGTAGATTTTTAGTTCACATTGTCTTGTTCATTTGTTGAATTTTGAATACTTTGGCGTTCCATACCGGAGCCCTTCTAGCCAATCAGAGGCGAGAAAGGCGGGACCTTCCTTGGACATCCTACGATTCCCAATTACGCTAACCGGACACACGTGAGTCGCGCGCATGAGCGAAGCAGCAGCAGGACGGGATGGCCACGCTGAGAGCAGCGAAGCGGGCCCTGCGGAGGGAGATCAAACAGCGGGTAGCGGCTCTGAGTAGGGACGAGAGGCTGAGACAGTCCCTGGTGGTCTCACACAAGGTGAGACAAACACGGCACCCTCCGCGGCAGGGACACAACAGGGCTGGAGGACTTCTACCGTCCACTTTCTAATGAAGGGCTAGTCCACACTAACTGACCCACAATCAGATTCTAGGGTTCGTACGGTGCTTGAAAACAGTGAAAATGCTTGAATTTTAATAACGTGTTTTCAAGGTATGGGAGTGCTTGATTTCTGTAATAAGTCCTTGAAAAACCAACTGTACAGTTTTGTATTCATGATCAACCGAGACAGTTTGATGAAAAAATATATATTTGGACAACAAAAACTACAGAGCGATCATTTAGCCTTTAATAAAGACGGTTGCTGCTGCTCCGAGAGGGTCAGCTTCTTTCTGTAACGCCGGTGTGTGAGTAGCAGACTCCTCCTATCAGAGACTGGCCGCTGGACCGGCGGTGTCCTCTGGTTCCGCTATGGAGCAGACCTACTGTGTACTTAGTTGCGTGTGTGAGGGCCCTGCTTTGGGACTCGAATACAGCGGATCATTATGTGATAGTTATGAAATCAAGAACCAAAAAATGACAAGAAGTATCTTTTTCGGTGCGCCTTTGCACGTGACGTCACCAGTGGTGTGTCCAGGCCTTTTAAAATGGGGTGGCCCAGGTGGACACTTGTCTATGAATGGGTGGCACCTATGGTCATCCCTCACAAAATAATGATTTTTTTTCATTCTAGTGAAATGGAGTGGAGTGGGACTGGGGCCAGGATTCTAAATACTATTTATGTCAATATGAATAATAAATAATAAAAATACAGAAATGTTCTGTAGTCCTGACGAAGAAAAGATCTTTTCTATAGCGCCTCAAGATAAAAATCACGAGGCGCTTCACAAAAACAAAAAATGTAAAAATATAAAAAAGGAATTTAGAAAATGGTTAAAATATATTTAAAATGAGCAAAAAATAGACAATTGTGATTAAAAATGTAAAGAAAGAGAGAGAGAGAGAGAGAGAGAGAGAGAGAGTGAATAGTAAACAGGGAAATCAGTGGATCCTGAGGAAGGTGGCGCAGTGGTTAGCACTGTTGCCTCGTAGCACAAAGGTTGCAGGTTCGAAACTCGGCTGCGGCCTTTCTGCATGGAGTTGCGTGTTCTCCCCATGCATGCGTGGGTTTCCTCCGGGTACTCTGTTTTCCCCCACAGATCACAACATGCCCTACAGGTTATAAATTGTAAGTCGCTTTGGATAAAAGCGTCTGCCAAATAAATAAAAATAAACAAAAGGTGGAGTAGGTAGGGAGAGCAGAATAAAGAGAGGGTGGTGATGAAGGTCACACCAAAACCAGTCTGAACAAGGGAGTTTTCAGCTGCTTTTTAAAGGAGACCACTGAGTCCACTGATCTTAGGCTCAGGGGGAGAGAGGTCCAGAGTCTGGGGACCTGCTGGGGGTGTAGGGACTAAGAAGATCACCAATGTAAGATGGTGCTTGTCCATGTAAGGCCCTATAGACCAGAACCAGGATCTTGAAATGAACCCTGAAGTTGACTGGCAGCCAGTGAAGCTGGAGGAGAAGCGGGGTGATGTGGGTGTATTTGGAGGACTTGGTCAGAAGCCGAGCACAGGCGTTCTGAACCACCTGTAGACGGTTCAGGGAGGTTCTGCTCAGACACGTGAAAAGAGAGTTACAGTAGTGTAAGCGTGAGGAGATGAAGGTGTGGAGAACTGTCTCAAGTTCAGAGCGGGACAGAATGGGACTCAGCTTAGCAACGTTCCTGAGATGGAAGAAGGAAGAGCGAACAAGATAACTGACATGAGAATCCAGGGTGAGAGCTGGGTCAAAGGTCACACCAAGATTCCTGACAGAAAGTTTGGCGTGAGAAGCAAGCTGACCAAGAGAGTCTCTGACTTTGGGAACCAGCTTGTCTGGGGCACAGATGAGGATCTCAGTCTTATCTTCATTCAGCTGTAGAAAGCTCCCAGCCATCCAGGTTTTGATAGAGTCTAAGCAGGTGTATAACAGCTGCAGCTTAGACATCTCATGGGGCTTAAAGGAGATGTACAATTGGATGTCATCTGCATAAAGATGGTTGGAGATTCCTTTGAAGGAGCTCAGGATGTGCTGAAGAGGAAGCAGTTAGAGGAGGAAGAGCAGAGGCCCCAGCACAGAACCTTGTGGGACACCATGGGTAAGGGAGGTGGTGGAGGACGTAAACTTGGAGACGACCACAGAAAAGGAACACTCAGAAAGATAAGAGGAGAGCCACTCCAGAGCAGATCCTGATAGGCTGGGGTTGTAAACCATTGTTAAAGGTGTATGTTGCCACCTCCTGTTTGGTGTTTATAATTCTAAGCCTTTTCTGGACAATGTAAAGTCATTTTAAATGGAACTCAGTGGGGTGGCCAGTCCGATTTCAAGGGTGGCATGTGCTATCCCAGGCCACTCTCTGGACGTCACGCCACTCATGTGACCGCCCCCATCGCCATGATGGACGGCAAAAAGACCCTTTACACCCGTAGAAACTCCAGGGAAGGTAGTCAAAACAAGCCAGTATGTAGCCTTTTATAGCTTTTATTTAGATGATTGGACAGTAAAATGGTTTTAGCTTGCTGCGTGGTTGGCTGCACTAACAGACAAGGACGTAAACTCAACTCGTTTTGTTTTTTTAATAACTTTGATGGAGACCGAGGACGGAGATGAACTGCAGCATCAATCAAGCGGACTAGCAGACCTCAGATTTGCAGAGAACATGTTTTTACCGGGTAAGATTAACGTTCATTTATTTCACGAGGAAGACGGGGACAGGGATAAATGTGGTGTGTTTATACTAGCTATTGATAATCCTGATGGATGGGTATTTCACCACGGGGGCTGCGCTCCGTCCACTGTAGTTTCAAGCGAGACAATTATTAACAATATTAAAGCTCCGATGTATGATTATGTGTGTTAAAATCACGTTATTTATTTATATGAGCGTCGGTGTTCAGAGATCTTCTCATTTGGGTGTGAGAGCAGCAGCTGAACCCGGTAACACCACCATCAACAGAAGCTGGTAGGGATCCGGACTTTTTAAAAATCAGCTTTGGTGTAAAGTGAAACGCTGTTTATAACATAAAGTTATAAATCCAGAGGGGTGAATTTAGGCGAAGTCAGCAACATGTTTACATCGGTGAACAGCTGCAGAGAGAACGTAAGCTAACGTTGGTAAGCTAGTTAGCATACCGCTCTCTATGAGCCCCGCTAGATGCGCTACTTCTTCTGATAACTTAACTGGGCATGGACTAGTTGAAGGAATGCTGGAGGAGCTTTGTTTTTGTTTTGATCGCAAAAACAATTTCAGGCTCTACTTTTACCTTTGTTTAGTACTCGTGTCGCTCACTGTTTACATGCTTTTGCCGTCCACCGTGGTGGACCCACGTGATAAGGTGACGTCGGTGCAAAAGGTCAATAAGCCACTAAGCCCCGCCCCTCTTGCTGCCGCGGTTCACGTCAGACGTAGGCTGCTTTCTCAATCACAAGCTTTGTTTACAAAACATCTCCACGTTCGCAAACTAATAAAAGGCAGAAAAAAAAAACGTTTTGGCTGCGTCTTGTGAAAGTTAACAGCACTAGAGCTAAACGCTAGTAAGGGGTCCAGCAACATTGACGCACCGGCGCATGTGGCAAGCCGGTGGGATCACAAATCGCTCACTTTTGTATTTGTTCGGGTATTTAAAGTCGTGTAATTAAAATACTGCATGAGTCCAACTGTTAGTTCAACGTTCTTTATCTTTTGCTTCCCACCTGAACACCCCTACACGTCTTCCCCGCGACTCTGTAGTCTTTATACATTTTATATATATATATATATATATATATATATATATATATATATATATATATATGTGCTTTTATAAGACACACCATGCCGGCAAATTGGCGTAATATTACAGCAATGGTGAGTCTATTAACGCGCCATGCCGGCATGGCGTTGCGCGAATTTTGCGGCATTCGTTCCGCCTCGCTTGGTAGTAATATTGCGGTAATGGTCTGTCGTATGCTCCCTGGCGCAACAGAGGCAGATGTCATGATGACATGGGGAGTTATCCCTGAGCTCCGGCTGGCAAATTTATTGAAAATAAACACAGGCAATATGGTTTGCTTTTTGAACAAAATCAGCTGAGATGGCAAACTGGAGCGCCGCAGCGCTCCATGAGCCTCTCTGTTAGAGCTGAAGCTCAGATCACCAGAGACTGCACAGGGACCGATGGGGACAGACACCTTTAGGAGCTGCTTGTTAAAAAAAAACGCAACGATCATGGCTTCAATCGCAATAAAAAGCAAGTTATGTCCAAGATAAACGGAAGTCTGCAGCAGTGCAGAGACCGCCCCCATACCCCCTTGATGCCGCCATCACCTAATCTTTTATAAAATTGCCACGATTACGCCACATTACCACCACGTTCTGATCTTACAAACGACCTTTATCCTCCCCAGGGAGCCGCGGCAAATCCCGTTTTGCAAACGCAATGGTCCTGTAAAAACAGCTTATGAGACTCACTGTATTAACATTAGAATTATGGAATTACTTATTACAGTTACAAACTCTTCTTTTGGGTTTTTTAAGTCTATGGGCAAAATTACAAATCCAATCTGGTCGGTCGTATCTCAAATCTCCCAGACCTGGTTCTGAGAGCAGAAGTAGTTTGTGTTTTTGGAACGTTCTGCCGCAGCGGTGCTGCTGCAGAGTGCTCCGCAGACGGTTGATTGGGGACATCTCCGCATATATCCTCAGCTACTCCACTGCTGCATTGTTCCCGTGAGGGCTGCATGGCAGTAAGATGGCGACGGTTTCGCCTGATAATCCCATGAGGTCCCGCTACCAGGTATGAGCGAGGTGTGGTGTTTTCCAACGACGGCTCCTGCTGCTCTTTGGTCTGTGACCCACTCATCCTTCCCAGGAAAGCTCACCTCAGACCTTGACAGATTACATTTGTCAGTGTTTAACGTGATGCCTGCCTTCCGGATGTTCTCCAGCACAGCATGCAGGCGAGCATCATGCTCCTCTTGTGCGCGCCCCATACCAGCACATCATCGATATGACACACAACCACTTCAAGCCCCTCAGTGACCTCTGTCACCATTAGGATCTGAAAACGTTTAGAAGCTGACGCGATGCCAAATGGTAGTCGTTTGAAGAAAAAACGTCCAAAAGGTGTGATAAAGGTTGTTAGTTTTGCTGAATCTTCAGTCAGGGGAATCTGCCAAAACCCCATGTTTGCATCCAACTTACTAAAAATGCTAGCTCCAGCCAGCATTCCAAGTGTTTCCTCCACTGATGGCAGGATAAACTTCTCCCGACATGCTGACTCATTCAGTTTGGTGAGGTCAACACATATGCGTACTGCACCTGCTGTCTTGGGCACCACCACTATGCCGGCATACCAGTCTGTTGGCTCCTCGACTCTGCATATCAGCCCGAGGCTTTCCATGCGGGACAGTTCCTGCTTGACTTTTTCCATCAGTGGCAAAGGAATCCCCTAGGTGTTTTTGGTGAGTATGGTTGAGCCCCTGGTTTCACTTTTATTGCATATGGCTGGCGCACTTCTCCAAGACCTCTACATAGTTTTGGGTAAGACTCCTTTAATGTCTCTATAGTGACACTGTCTAGGCACGCAACAAGCCCCAGCCTACAGCTCACAGGTCTTCCCAACAAAGCAGTGTGCAGACGTCGAACTACATACATATCCTCCATCACTAATTTATCCCCTCTTCTCATAAACAGCCTGGCGACACCCACAACATCAAGTGGTTGGCTGACTGAGCATGGTGGATTGTCCATAAATATCATCTTGAACACGGTGTGTGGCAGGACTTTGACGTCGGCACCTGTGTCAATTTTAAACATCACACTGTTGTCATGTATGGTGATGCCAACCATGCAAGGATCACCCTCTGATGCGATGCTGCCGAGGAAAATTGCATCCGTCTCCTCCTTCAACCTCGTGCGCAGATCTTGGATCCCTGCACACATGACTGTAATGTCCTTTTCTGCCGCACGCAAGACATTTTGCTTCATGTGCAGGACAGTCTTGTTTGCGTGGGTTGGAGACTTGTCACATTTATGACACCATGACTGAGGAGATTCTCCATTGCTATTCTGGGTATAGCTTGGCTCATTAGCATGCTGAGGTTTGTTCCTAGCAGGTTTTTTGTTCTTGGACATCCTGACTCTATCCACTGACTCTCCATCACTTGCCTGTGCTCTGGTGTCTCCTCTCAGAGAAGCCTGCTGCTTTTTCACCTCTTCGCTTTGACGTGCCATCCTGACGGCTTTATTCAAGGTAAGTTCTGCATCCAGTTGCATACACTCGGAAGTCCCTTGTCCAGCAGCCCCACAAGTCTGTCTCTTATTAGCTCGTTGTGTAGCGCCCCGTAGCTGCAGTGTTCAGCTAACGCATATAACGCAGTGACAAAAGAGTCCACAGACTCTCCTTTCTGTTTGCGCATGTTGAACTTAGCACGCTCGTATATGACATTTTTCTTGACCATAAAAAAGTTCTGAAAGCCATCACGCACACTCAAGTACATGTCTCTCCCAGCAGCTGATAGATTAGGGCCATGCAGGATGTCATCCGCCTCAACACCCATGCAATATATCAACGTATTAACTTGATTCTCCTCTGAACTTACATTCTGATTACTGGCCAGGCGAAATCTTTCAAAACGTCGGATCCATGTGTCCCACTCATGCGGCTTAGAAAAGTCGAAGGACTCTGGCGGCTGGATATTAAAGGTAGCGCACTGCCCCGTAGTAGCACTCTGTGTTGGCACAGCGACAGCTAGCCACTGGCTCACGTCACTAGCCTCTCCACCTTGGCTCATTACGTCCTCCCGACGGTGTACAATAATCTTCCAGAACGGGTCTAAACTCTTAACGCAAACTACCAGACTTCTGACACCATGTCGTGTAATTAAAATACTGCGTGAGTCCAACTGTTAGTTCATTTAACGGTGTCTAAATCGCCGTCTTTATACAAAAAACGCTGAAAAAAGTGGCGGAAATCCCATCAGAAGGCCACATTATACGCCGTCTTCATGTAGTATTTCAGAGTGCCGTAAAAAACGTTTTTTTAAGGTTATTGAACGCATCACTGAAGCACTTCTAGCGCGTTGTCAGAATAGTGCAAAAGACGGCGCATTTGACAGTTCAAAACTTCACTATTTACGGCGTTCTGTGACTTTTTCAGCTGCGTAAAAGGCGCCTTTTTATTTTTGATTATGCAGGCCACTCTCAAAGGTTTTCTCAGCCACTTATTTTAAACTGCGATGGCCCAATCCACAAAGAGAAAATACAGACAGTACTAGTTCATCCTAGATGCTATTTCCTTCTTTCCTGAAGATGCTACTTTCTGCTTCAGTTCACCAACTAAACCGTTTTTAGTTTAAAGACGGCAATTTAGACACCGTTAAATACCCGAACGTGTTCAAAAGTGGGCAATTTGTGATCCCAACAGCTTGCCATATATATCTGGTTCATTAGAGCGATACCTGTGTTGGTGTGGGCGTCGTTTAGGAAGTAGTTACGTGACCGACACAGCTGCTGTGTCGAACTGTGTTTAAATGCAGGAGCGTCTCCTTCTGTCAGCGGGATGAGTTTCTGCCACAAGTACATCTTCTGAAGCAAAATACTGTTGAAGGTTCTCAGTCATCCAGGTCATGGTAATCCAAAAGGGTTTAAATGAAGGCAACAGGACTTCTTTGGTTTCTTGAAGACGTTTCTCTTCTCATCCGAGGAGCTTTGTCAGTTCTGACAAGAATATGGGATAGTCAAGCTTATAAGCTGTAGCTGTCTGTGTTTGTTTAACGAGCAGAAACTACTCTTGAGTACCCCTCCTCTCCATCCCCTGAGTCGTTGGCCTCTTGAGAGGGAGTCATTGCGTTGATTAGATCCAGGAAGGTGTAACCTAGACTGAAACTGCTGCTGCATTGTAGGTACTGGAAAGGTGAAATCTAAGCGCCTTCCTTTTTTAAAGAGCAAGTCACATCAAAATCAAACTTTTTTAGCTGATAACCAGTATAAATGAGTGTCTAATAGTGTTGTAGACATGTGTAGTTATTATTTTTGCATTTTGATGCATTTTATTTAAAAACTCTAAACTCTGTCTGAAAACGTCAGTCTAGCATCCTCTTCAGCTCAAAAGTATAGAACACGTTTATTTTGAGTCGGTTTTAGCCAATAGCTAACGAGAACAATGCTACGTAGTTAAGAAAAGTACTACCTAGCAGCTCTGTGGCTGTAGGTTATAAAAGCACCGCGGTCTCAACCAGCTTTGCAGCAGTCGGGGCTCAGATTAGCCGCAAGTGAGTTGTGCAGTTAGCATTAGCATTGTGTCCCAGCAAAGCTTCTAGTATTATAATTATTTAGTTCTAGTAGCTTGGCTGTTAATATTGTGGTTTAGTGATTTTCACACGACTCTTTCACCAGCTTGATAGAGTTTGAACCAGGTTATGCTGGTTTGAAGAGCGTTTCACAAATTAGTCCAAGCCGTTCTAGTAATTAGCCGGATCTCGCCGATTGCTGCTTCCTCTAAACGGAGATTTTGGGCCCAATCAGAGGTGAGTAAGCTAAATAATTACTTTTAACAGCTTCTAAAGATCGTTCTCTAACTGTAATTTTGCAGCTATATTTGCTATATTTATAAATGCAAAGTAAGAGAAACGTGGATGTGGTTTATGTAATTTAGCTAGTATCAGTCCACACTGCTGCAGGCTCGGAGCGAGTGGTGTGTGTGTGTGTGTGTGTGTGTGTGTGTGTGTGTGTGTGTGTGTGTGTGTGTGTGTGTGTGTGTGTGTGTGTGTGTGTGTGTGTGTGTGTGTGTGTGTGTGTGTGTGTGTGTGTGTGTGTGTGTGTGTGTGTGTGTGTGTGTGTGTGTGTGTGTGTGTGTGTGTGTGTGTGTGTGTGTGTGTGTGTGTGTGTGTGTGTGTGTGTGTGTGTGTGTGTGTGTGAGTGAGTGAGTGAGTGAGTGAGAGACACAGACTGGTTCAGGTTGAGTTTTTGTGCCAGTTAGGAATATCAGCGCTGATGCAGAGCAGGAGGGACACTGACGAGCAGCTCCTCCTTCTGCTAAAAAACTGACCCGGTTCTGAACTGGTGCTGAGTCCGGTTCTCATTAGAACATGTCTGATTCTGGACCCCGAGTTAGCTCTGAGAGCAGTCAGATCACTCACCAGCCGTGTTATAAAGCACATATATTAGACAGTTAGTTTTGTACATGATCTAAGTTACTAAACTCCCACAACAACGTGATATTATTATTTTCAGGCTAGATCTGCCCAATAAATCTGCTGTCCTCCACCAGCCTGCACCGGTCCAGGCTAGAGCCTTGCAGGTGAATTATTTTTAACAATCTGTCTCTCTTTACCTTCTTGTTTTAACATTGTCATTATTTTAGCTTATTGATACACACGTGTGTTGCTGCTCTTAAAAACAACTATAAATATATTTGCTGTTTCTTTATATTTCACATAGCCTCCCAGCAGCTGTGTGTCTGACACTGGGACCGTGATGGGAATTCCACCCAGACCAGCTTCTACACTCCTAACAGACCCAGGTGTGGTGGAGAGCTTCTGAGCAGCTTCCATCTGAATGACAGGACAAGCTCTATGAACTGATCCAGGTAAAAACATTATAAATAATAATATTGCACTCTGTATTCTGTTTTCTTCTCACATCTCAGCCTGGTTGGTCACCACTGGAGAGGAGTATCTTCCCAGACTCACACGAACATCCCATTTTACCTCAGAGCCTCCTGATCTAACAGAAATACCTGTAGCTCCATCCTTGCTCTGCTCTCCACATGTTTCTCATCATCTCTGGAAGCAACCTCCCACAACACTGTGATGTTATATATAATTTGTTTCTTTCAGGCTAAATGAACCCAAGTAATCTGCTGTCAGACTGATTGTTCCAGCTACAATTGTTCCAGACTAACATGAAGCCTTGCAGGTGTAGTAAAGGTGAGTTGTTTTTAATCATCATGTAATCTTCATTACAGCCTTTGAGTTTTAACATTAACTATGTATTTGTTTCATAGCTTATTGCTACACGTGTGTTGCTGCTGCGAGCTTGGAGCTAGATTACATCATGACATCATGAAGGAGGCTACTGATTCTGGTCCTGTGACACTTGGTGAAGTGTGAGCTGATTCACCTGGTAAATAACATGTAAATTAAATATTTTGTTTTGTTGCTATCCAAAGTAAATTAACTAATAACCTGCATTATTGTTGGACACCCAGCAAAATATGGACGCTACACCATGAGGCAGGCACATGTTAATACTCTATAAGAGCACATAAGGTGAGCAACACCACATATTATTATTATTATTGTACACTGTCCTGGATTTGTTTTCTTTCTGCATCTCATCATTACCCTGGTTTCACACAGCAAGCATCAGCGGAACGGAACGGCAGCGAAGCGGCACCGCTTCAAATAGAATAGTCTGTGGAGTGTTTCAAACCAGCCGTGACACGGCAATTTCCAGGCGTGTCCCAGAAGCGGCATGCTGCGCAGCGCCGCCAAAGATAGGATTGAGTTCTATTTTTTCCGCGAGCCGCTTCTGGGACACGTCAATTTCTGCAGTTCACATAGTGCGAGACAGGAAACCACACACAGTTTCAGTGTAAAATCCCCGGTTATTTTCAAAATAAAATTTAACGTTGCAATGTTATATATAACTTACATCAGCACGTGTGACCGAACGGCTTTGTTTACCACTAGTTTCTTTCGAGAATGCAACGGTATGATTCCTCGCGGGGGTTGTGATCTCTCAATGAGGAAGGTGTCAGAAGTCTCGAGGGATTTTAGAATCTCGCGAGTACAGGGAGCCGCAGTGAGGAAGCTGTGTTGTGGCCAAGACTCTCCTGGTGTGAAAAGGACCACTTTGAAATTTGTGAGTGAGCCGCTCCACTGCTGTTCCGTTCCGCTGATGCTTGCAGTGTGAAACCCCGGTTAGCCTGGCTGATCACCTGATAACTCCTGTCATCTGGTTATGACAGCATGAGGATGTCCTCACACACACCTGTAACCTATCAGCTCATCTGGCAGAATAGAGAGAAGAGACAACACCACATCTCCTGTTCCTGGAAAGCTTTCAGCCATCCTTCGATGACTGAGAACCTCCATCAGCTCTGTCTCCTGTCTGCCTACAATTATTATAATAAATATTGTGCTTGACAAGTTTTTTGTGCTGCCAAATATCTCATTTTGATTCCAGTTTTTATATTTTAATGGATATTTATAAATTACATTAATTGAATTATCACATTGTTGCATGTTTAACTAGCTCTATGGTGATGAATTAAACTAGCACCTCACTGTTAAAAGCTTGTTTTAAACTCAAGTGTGTTTAAATATTTATGGACATGAACAAAAACAGGAAATATATAAATTGAGATTTATTTAAAATAACAAATAACTGTTTAGAGGAGTAAAGAGTCATTCAAAGGCACATTCTTCTGGAAGCTCCTGATCCTGACGACACCACCAGAGACCACCTGCAGACACCAGAGGGTCACCTACGACCAAGAGAGCAGCTGGTATCCGTAAATAAATAATGAAATCAGGGCAGTTTTAGTGGGCTGTTTGGGATTGTGTAACATAAATGAACACATGACATTTTTTTTTTTACCCACAAAGATTGTCAAGAAAGCGTGTTATGTTCATGTGAAATTAAACTGATCACAAAACACAGATTTACTTTCTTTATTGGTGTATTCACCTTTAATACTAGTTATTAAAATGCAGCAGTTGCTGGATTGGTGCAGTTCAAAGTGAAGTGCATCAAATGAAACAGTATTAACATAAAGGTGAGACATGTCATAATTTAGCGTAAAGGCTGGCACTGCCATGCTGAACTACCAAGTATAGGAAGTGTTCACTCTTTTAAGGGTTCATTATTTATAGGTTTTAAACAGATTTGAGACATTTTAATAGGTGTTTACAAAGAGTCCTCAGACCTCCCCTTTCTTAGAAAAGCTTATTTCAGTTAATATGTGAAGTTAAACTCATTTGTTAATACTGACATAACAGCTAATAAATCATTATTAAATTATCAATTAGACTCATTTGGTGTATTTAAGATGTGAAATAATGCTTTTCAATATGTTGACAAATTCATTACTGTAAAGCAGTCAAGACATTATTAAAGGACCCGTGTGTGAAATTCACAGAAATCATAGTAAAAAGATCCGACTCTTTAGCACCACGCAGTTTAGAGTCGGTATTGCAGCTATTGGAGCCCCCGAGGATCAAAAAGTTTTTTTATCATTATTTAAAACTATTAACAAATATAACAAATACAATACAAAATCGTGTTGCTGTAAACGGCAGCATGTCATCATCTAATTCCAGCTTTCAAGTCAGCGAACAGGTTAGTTCTTTTCATCTAACTTATTTTATTAATTTAATCTAAATAGGATTTGAATAAGAAAAACTTTTTTATGTCAGTTATGTTTGCTAATAGCAAACGGCAGCTAGTTAGTGATGACTTCTGACTACAAAAAATGACAATATTTTGTTCATTTTATTTGAGAAATGTTATATTTCTATTTGCAATTTTGGAAATATACAAGGTAGTGTAGTCTGTAATTGTTTTCTCTCCGTAAACAGAGTCAGATATCATCCGATGGTTCATCAGTGGAGACAGACAGAGGACGAGGGAGAGGAAGAGGGAGAGGGAGAGGACAGACGTGTGCCAGCGCACAGAGAGGCAGAGGTGTTAGACATGCGACAGAAGCAGGGCAAGCATCCCAAGATGAAGGAGCCGAATTTGCTCAAACCAGCCGCAACGTCCCACGCACAAGAGGAAGAGGCAGAGCTGCAATAAAGTCTAGAAGATCGGCGCTTTCAAGCGCTTTCAAACTATCCCGTTTCTCAAGTTTGCTTGAAGAATATGTATGATCCTCCATCGCTAGAAGTACGGTGTGGCTAGTTTCTTCTTCTTCTTAGTTACTTTGTCAGACTGCATGCTTACAAGGCGCACTTCTGCCCCCTGCTGTTTCTTTGAGGTTACATCATTTAAAAACGCAAACATCAAATGCGAAGCTTAATATGTTGTATGTCCCTAAAAGGTCACTGTATTTTAAGATGGCGCATGCCATATGGAGCACCGGTCTGCTTCTTTTGTCTAAAATATTAAAATATAAAGCTAATAATAATGCTTAGAGTAAATGCTTGTTTGAATTATCATTAAAAAAAACAAATTTGAGAATGTGATACAAGAAATTTGATAACTTATAAGATTAAATATCACACATTGGGCCTTTAAATAACTTTAAATAGAACAATAATTGTAGATATTGTTGGACATGATTGTAAATAACTAGTGAAGTTAGGAAATCATTTATGAGACCAAATAAGATTCTTTATTAAAGTTAGAAAGAGTATGAAAGTCTCGTCTCCTGGAGGAGACCTTGTGAGTGCCGCTCCATGTAAGCATGAGAGGATGTTATGACGGCGTACCCAGATGGCCAGAGTAGGAACAGAAAAACGGGACTGTTTTGATATGCAGAAGCACACCATATTCCAGGCAGATGAAATCGGCTGGGCACTTCATGTCTGATGACCTCTGCCCACTGGTAGGGCAGGTGGTTAACATGTCATATGTCACACCCTGTCCTGTCTCCCTATTCTGTTCAGTCCTGTGTCCATGTTAATTGCTCCCACCTGCCTCTCGTCTCCCAATCACCCAAGGTCCCAGCTCCTCCTGTATTTAAACCCTGTTAGTCCATTTTGTCTGGTTGGTTCATTGTTTCATTGTCCCGCGTGTCCTCCATTAAATCAGTGTTTTAAATGTTCCTGTCTGCCTCCCTGCCTGTTTCTTCCCCCGCACTTGGATCCTTACCTCAGTCTCACTCACCGGCACGTTGTGACATCATAACCTTTGCATTACATGGCCTCCTCCTATGCTACAAATGTTTTTTTTCTGCAATAAACAGAATGTGGTTCATGCTCCAACATTTCTGAAATTAGACCATTGGTCCAAAACTAAAATGACAAACTTAGCCAAATATTTCATTTATTTATTTCTTACGCCCTTGAACTGCAGCCTAAATACCGTAAATCCTCTAATATTAGCCTGTATTCAATTAACGGCCGGGTATCATATTTTGGCCAGTGTCGGAGTCGGCGGAGGTGAATAATGGCCGGTATTTTATTGTGGCCGGGTGGAATGTGGTAACAAGCAAGTACCACAGGGGGGGCGGTTGTGTCATCCGTCTCACTTTTGACTTGCCAGTGACAGACCGCGATTTGGCAAGTGCGGAGACGAAGAGGAGGCGAAAATTTGATATCAAGTTCAAAGAGAACGTGCTGATTATGCTGCAGAACACTGGGGAGCAATAGGGGTTGTATGAACTAGTCAACTTCACTATGGTGACTTTTTATGCCTGTCATCGACTAGTCGCTGTCACGTGATAATGACCACCAAGATGCAGCCCTCAGAAAAGACAGCAGCCTGCTATCAGCCGGTGACAAGCTCCTGCGCTCGGGGGGGCAACGCGCTGTGCCAGAGCGTCGGTACTGACACGCGATCGTTCATGTTGGCTCATTTCCTTTTATGTTTTCTGTCTTTTAGTTGCGCCTGATGCGTTTCACTGCTGTGGAGCGGGGCCATCACCTTGTCCTCCGGTGACCCACCGATCACTGATGCGGCCGCCAAGCAGTGAGCACTCCGCTGTTTTTGCGGTCGGTAGATCTTTTAGAACTGCAGTTCAAAGGTAACTCATAAGGTGAATATATATGAACCCAGGTAGCAGTTTTTCTTTAGGATTGAGAAAAGATGCAGGAAGATAATAAACAGACAGGACAGAAAAATAGTCAAATAAAAACAAGTTATTTTTTGTACCTGGTGGTTGCAACAAACAGACACCACTGAAGGTAATCAGAAGTGAGGAACAGAAAATGAAATAATTATTTTAATGTTTAGAGCAGCAGGAATTCCGAGAGGCTGCAGGCGCATCAGTGAGTTTGCGGCCGCTGCGCAGGGGGAGGGGGGAGAGGGCTGAAGCAGAAACTACCGTTGTTACAAAAAATGTGTTTAACTTTGAAAATGTGGGCGCAGTTTTAATTGTCAAAAACTCATGCGAACCATTAGTTCATTGTGCTCAAATAGAAATAGAGGCCTGCTTCTAATTATGGCCCTCCTTCCAATAAAGGCCTGGAGCTTGATGAGCTTGAGTAAAATACAGGCCCGGGCCTGTATTAGAGGATTTACTGTATGTAAAGCTGCTCCAAAGACATTAAAAGCTAATATATGGGCCCATTATGGATTTTATTACCTGAATTAAAGACGGAAATTGGATGTGTCATCTAGGTTTTCAGTGGCTTATAAGATTTTGTGAGCATCTGCAGAGCATGTTTCCCAGCCTATGTTGAATGAGGAAACATATTTTTTTACTTTGTTAAATCTTCTTACGTTTTAAATGTTTAGCATTTTCCTAAAAACTGTTGTGATTAAAGAGCTGTTGGGGGGATGTCGTGTTGCATCAGAAATGTTTTTGATTTTAAAAAAGCAAATATCTGACATCTTCTACTTATTGATGAAAACAAATCCATATGAAATAATCGAGATGCATCGAGATACCGAATTGAATCACTGACACGGTAATCTTAATCGAATCTTGCCACTAGTGTAGATTCAATTCAAAAATACTTTATTAATCCCAGAGGGAAATTCAATTGTTTCAGTACATACAATTCTGAGATCAGACATACATACACAGACACATGACAAGAATTGGTGACTGTGGTCATTCGCAACTCGAGTTGCGCTACCGTAATAGATCAAGAGGGTTTATATGAGGATAGAGTCGGGGGAGGGGAAAAAATGCACTTCTGAGTTACCCTCCACAGGAAGGGCAGCTTTGCTATGCAAAGAAACACCTCAGATAGAAATGCAACAGACTTCAGACGTCACACAACATAAGTGTCCACTAGGTGGCGAGGTAGGGTTGGGACTCTCCTCACTTCAGTGCGTGCAGCCGCATGGAGCAGCGCTCATCACCTCCGTTTGGACAGGGGAGGGAGATAATGGGTTAGAGGGCACAGTGACTCCTAGATACGGTTCCATGGCCTTCACCGGTCACAGTTCTGCCCAGGCTGGGATAGGGAGAAGAGTTACCATAGCTACGGCAGCATTCCACATTTCTTCTGAGGGGGGAGTTATCATTTCAGCCTCACAGGCTCCAAGGGCACCAGATTCAGATAAGGATTGCTTTGTGGACAGACAGATAATTTCCTCTGCCTTAGAGTTCTGTTGGTCTTCAACCCCTCTAGATCCAATAATGGCGTAATTAATCTATTCCAATCCGTGCTTATCCGTCCACTCGCTCCTTGATGGTATCCACCTTTTGTGCCAGAGTCTGAATCTCAGCTAAAGTTCCAAGCTTTCGACTCATCTCGACATTTATATGAGTTTGTGCATTCACAGCGCGATGCATTCCATCCCTGAGCTCCGGGATTGAGCCAATATTCCTCGAAAGCTCGTTAATTTTCCGGTAAGCCAGGTAACCGCTCAGGCCAAACAGCAGGAATCCCGACACCAAAACGACGAATATCCAGACATCTTCAGAATCCTCTACAGACAGTTGAGAGAGGCAGATCAGGTTCCACTGTTTCCAGGAGTCCATGATATGCCCAGCTGGCTCTTCCCAGAGGGGGATCCGGGAGCCCCTTCTCCCGTTCTCATCGTAGAAAAATTTTGCCAATCGCGTTGAGAGACCAACTGACCAGGTCCATTTTTAATAAGTTCCAGTTTCCAGAAAAAATGCAGAAAGTGCAGTGCACACAAGACAGGACAAAGAGCCTTGGGATGAGGAGGGAGGGAGAGGAGAAAAAAAAGCGTCTGTACTCTCCAAGAGCCGGTAGAAGAATGCACCCTGTGATTACTATATTCACAGCATAATTCAACAATAATCAGACTGTGTGGTTTCTGTTATGCTGTTTCCTTTTCCGTAGCTCTTCAAACACCCCAAGTATGTGTCCTCCCAGCGAATTGCTGTGTTTCTCAGCATGGATGATGAGCCGTGCACTCAAGAAATCATCAAAGACATTTTTAAATGTGGCAAAAGCTGTTTCATCCCCAAATACGACAGCAGCAGCTCCCATATGGACATGTTGAGGACAAACAGTCTGCAGGACATCCAGACGCTGCCACGGACTTCATGGAGCATTCAGCAGCCTGCTGCAGACGATGATAGCAGAGAAGAAGCTCTGTCCTCAGGTACACACACATAAAACACTCAAACCAGTGCTGATTACAAATTTAGTGTATGATCACAAAGTAGATTTATTTCATTAATTCCATTTTAAAAGTGAAACATGTACACTACCAGTCAAAAGTTTTAGAACGCACCAATTTTCCCAGTTTTTATCGGAAATGATGCAGTTTATTGTCACATTGCACTCTGAAATGAAAGCATGGTACAAATAAGCAATTGGAGTTAAAAAATAAATCATGGAATCAATTTATAGACAAAAATGTATTTTAAACTTTTGACTCTTCAAAGTAGCCGCCTTCGGCAGATATAACAGCTAAACACACTTGTGGCTTTCTTCTTACAACAGAAATCAAATATTCTTCGGAAAGTTCTTCCATTTCTGTTGCAGAAGTTCCCATAAATGTGTGGCACTTGTAGGTTGCTTTGCTTTCACTCTTCTGCTCAGTTCATCCCAAACCAGCTCCATGGGGTTTAAGTCTGCAGACTGTGCTGGCCACTCCATGTTTACAAGCTTCTGGCATAGCTTGGACTTATGTTTTGGGTCATTACAGCATTTTTTCAATCAATTTGCAACAATTTTCACAACATTGATGTCTTCTTTCACAACTCTAGACACAAAACTCATAACGGTCATCACTTGTAACACAGGCTGTACAGTGTTCTAAACACTGGATTGTGCATTCACATGTTTTGAAGAAATCTTGCACTTGCACAAACATTGGTGCAATAAAAAATTTACTGTGAAATACCATTGAAACACAACTCTAGATCACCCACACACAAGTAACATGTAGTCTTAATAAGTAATTGTTTGAACAATCATTTAATATTGAACAAAATAGGTGATACAGGTTTTATAATTCAAACATTCTCAGTTTTTATTGTCATGTGCAAAGTAAAAGTAGAAAAATATTTTCTGCACAATAAAATTCTTACTTTGCTGCCAACACTAGATACAAGGGCTGGGCGATATGGCCTAAAATCAGTATCCCGATATATTGAGGATTTCACCTCGATAACGATAAATGGACGATAACTACAGGTGTGCACAGAAACAAAAGTTGTCCACAAGACGGGGTTGTCACCCGTATTACGTTGAGCCACATTTTTACGTGACTTAAAGTGGTACAGCTTCTTAAAGGGACATGAACGTTGACAACCTACACACATCTTTTCATTTTTGTTTATTATCAAATTTATTAACATGGGAAAAAATATCTCGAGAAGAGTCAGACATTTCGATACCGATAAATTTTCTATTTATTTCCCAGCCCTACTAGATACAAAACAAAAAAAAAAGGTAGAAACAAAAAGATCTAAACAAATACACAAGCTAACAACTCTACCTTGCAGAACACAATCATTTATGGTACTACATGCAGGGGGGCTGCCAGAGATTTTGGGCCCCATGGAAAAATATCAAGTTGGGCCCCCTGGGGGCTCGTCCATAGCTGGAGCTGGGGTTCCACCCTCCCAGATTCGAAGGGAGAAAAAAATATAATATATATATTAGTGTTTCAGTTTTGTTTAATTATGTAGGTCTACATGCATTCTTACTTATTTACATATCATTGTCACCAGCTGTCATTAAACAGTGAATTTCCTTCAACAGAATTAGCAATATCACTGCTGGAAAAAGCAGGAAATGCACATGCTGAAAGGTTTTAATCTCCTTTTCCCTATTACTCCCTTAAAATGTGTTTATTTATTCTAAAATTTTACTTGATGATAAAATTCAAATTTGGATATTTAATTAAATTTCCATGTGTTGTCAAAGCTTTACATAACTACATTTTCAGCTGTCCTTCCTCTTGAAATCAAGTATTTCTGTATGACTGACAAAAATTAAGGATTCACTGCTTATAAGTTGACTTCTTTATTAAGTCTCCATGTCTTCATCACAGACACAAAATGAATAAGCACACAGTTCAAACAGTTAGGGTTACATAAAATTTTAAAGTAGGACAACTTTGCATGAATATGTACAGTGGGGCAAAAAAGTATTTAGTCAAGAGTCAAGTCAAGAGTCATTTATTGTCATATTCTCCACATGTGCAGGACATACAGAGAAATGAAATTCAGTTTCAGCACACACAATTCAAAGATCAGACATACGTGGGTAAGACACATAACAAGAATTGGTGACTGCGGTCATTCGCAACATGAGTCGCGCTACCTTAATAGTTAGATGAAAAGGGTGTTACATGAGGAAAGTTCAGGGAGGGGAAAAAAAGGCATTAACAGGGTTACACCAGCAGGGTGTAGCACTCCAATGCAAAAAAACACCCGACATGGAAGCACAGACAGCACGTGTACAACATCAGAGTCCAATGGGGAGGTGGGGGTGGGCGGGATCCTGAAGCCTCCAATGGGAGCTGCCACTGCGGCGCATCGACCAGCTGCAGAACAACAGGTGGGAGGGAGAGATAAGGAACAGAGAGCACATTGAGGTCCCTGCAGATATAGCCTGAAGGGAGAGGGTGAAGGTCGGGACACAGCATCTGTCGGCATTCCTCCTTTTGTGGGGGTGTGTTGAGGCAGCCTTGAGAGGCTTCTATGGCGTCAGATAAGGATAAACATAACTTTGTTTAGGGTAGACAGAGATAATCTTCCCCTCCGTCTTGTAGTCTCTAAGTGGTCATTCATGTCCACCAGTGAAGCCAATTTTACATTCCACATCCCCGCATCGTCCGGCGACCCTCTCCGAGATCAAATCCATCTTGCGCACTAACACAGGCAACGCCGCAAGGACATTGTCCAGCTTACGGTTCACCTCGAGTAACGTCCCAGTCTGTGAGGTCACCGCACGAGCGGCACATTCCGTGGGTACGGGTCGCACTCCAATCGCTCCCGTCTTCCCAAATTTCCAGAAAACCAGATATCCTCCCACTCCAATCAGAAGAAATCCAGTGATCATCAGGCCGAATATCCACAAATCTTCCACGTCCTCGATGGACAGCTGAGAGAGGCACACGATTCGCCAGACCTCCCAAGAATTGAGTGCATATCCCGATGCGAATGTCCCCTCGGGACAGGTGGGAGCCCCCTTCTCCGTTCTCATCGTAGAGAAAATTTTGTCAATCACGTTGAATGACCAATTAATTAAGTCCATATTTCCAAAAAGAGAGTAGTGGTTTCAGGAGAAATGCAGAGAAGTGCTCTGTAGGCAGACAGGACAAGAGCCTTGGGGAAGCCGATAAGGGAGCTGAGAAAAAAGCGTCTGTACTCTCTGAAGGCTGAAGAAGAAGCCAGCCACCGATTGTGCAAGTTCTCCCACTTAAAATGATGACAGAGGTCAGTAATTTTCATCATAGGTACACTTCAACTGTGAGAGACAGAATGTGAAAAAAAATCCATGAATTCACATGGCAGGATTTTTAAAGAATTTATTTGTAAATCAGGGTGGAAAATAAGTATTTGGTCAATAACAAAAATTCAACTCAATACTTTGTAACATAACCTTTGTTGGCAATAACAGAGGTCAAACGATTACTATAGGTCTTTACCAGGCTATCCATTGTTTTACACATTTGTCCTGTACCAGAATGTTTCACCAATTTTGTAATTTGTATTTTGTCATTTGAATTGCTTTTATTTTTGATTTATTCAATATATTTACCTTCAACTGAACCATGTTCAGTGTTTTGGGCTTTATAAATAAAGCTTTGAATGACTGATTGATTGAAAAAACTTCTTGATGTGCAAGTTCATGCTTAAAGTGCAGTGCTAAATAAAGTGCTGAAGTGCCTTCACCAAAGTGCAAGTATTTATTTAAAGTGCTGTACAAACAATAAACCCCTGTTATGAAGATCCCTTCATTACAGTCTACAAATATTGCCCGAATTTCGTTAGATACTCTGTGCTTTTGGAGCTGCTATCTGGGTCTCTGTCCTCCACCACGTTGCCCCACTCCTCTCAAATGGGGCCCACGACCACCTCTCAGAAGGGGAGCCTGTCCTTTTCCAGTCCTTTGACCAACACGTCTTCCTCTTCCTTCTCCTCTCACCACGGCTTGATCTCCATTGTAACTTGGCTCTCTTGCTGGCTCCATGTCACCATGCTGGCTCCAAATCACCTCTTTATATACTCATTACACAATGTGCATCCAATCATCAGTAACGAGCTGGCAGAATTGGATAGCAAATTACAAATGAACCTATTGTTTGTTTGTCTTTATTCATACAGTATTGAAAGTATTGCAACAGTTATCATTTTGAGTAGTTGTATCAATTAATAGTTAGTTCATTTATAGGAAATGAACAGACTCATTTGAAAAGTAATGAGTGAATTGCTTTTTGAAATAGTAGTACTTTGATGTTAAGTTGTGTCAAAATGAACCGGCGGTTGTTCTTAAATGAACAAATGACCTAAGTTTTATGTGTGTTGCATCCAAGCAATTGAGAAATGAGGGAGAGTTTAGAAAAAATGTGCATTTTGATCGTTGGTTGTGAGTTTTATGTCTAAAGTTGTGAAAAAAGACATCAATTGTTGCAAAGTGATTTAAAAAACTGTATCATTCTGTACCAGAGGGTACAGCATGATGCTGGGGAATGCTGTGGTTGCCATTTTGGTTCAGGTTGCCTCTCTGTACAAGTCACCAACCCTGGATCCAGCAAAACAGCCCCAGACCAACACACTGCCTCCTCCATGTTTGACAGTTGTTGCCACACACTGTGGAACCATCCTTTCACTTGCTCGATGGCGTAAAGATTCTGCGTGATGAACTGAAGATTTCAATTTTGGATTCATCAGTCCATATTACCTTCTTCCAGTCTTCAGTAGTCCAATGACGGTGTTTCATGGCCCAGGCATGCCTCTTTCTCTTATTCTGACGTCTTAGCAGTGGCTTTCTTGCTGCAACTTGTCCCGTCAGACCTGCTGCTCCAAGTCTTCTCTTCACAGTTGAAACTGAGACTTGCTTACTACTTGAAGCTGTTGTCCTGTGAGCCGCCTATCACACAAGCTGTTAACTCTCAGAAACTTGTCCTTTGATGCAGTTGTG